CCCCCGCAAGATTCATGCTCAAACCCCTAAACTCAAAGTTTCGAAATGACAACTTCTTGACAGCACCTTCGTTGAGGCTGAAAATTTGCAGGTAGTTGCGCCCGGTCGTTGTGAGCAAGCCCACCAAATGTCAGCTCCTGTTGACACTCCAGCAAGAAGATATGGTCCCCGCAAGATTCATGCTCAAACCCCTAAACTCAAAGTTTCGAAATGACAACTTCTTGACAGCACCTCCGTTGAGGATGAAAATTTGCAAGTATGTGCGCCCGGTCGTTTTGAACAAGCCCACCAAATCTCAGCTCCTCTTGACACTACAGCAAGAAGATATGGCCCCCGCAAGATTCATGCTCAAATCCCTAAACTCAAAGTTTCGAAATGACAACTTCTTGTCAGCACCTCCGTTGAGGATGAAAATTTGCAGGTATGTGCGCCCGGCCGTTGTGAACAAGCCCATCAAATCTCAGCTTCTGTTGACACTCCAGCAAGAAGGGTACTATAATACACATACATACTATAATAACTTCTTAAATACTATAAGTATAGAAATAAAAAAGAGATTTTCAAGCAAGTTTGAGAAAAATCTCTGTGTGAGAATTTGTTTCAACAAGACAATTTTGAGTTTACAAATCATCTTGGAGTGTTAATGAATGTTTGATTTGAATGATGAATGGAGAGTTTAAATGAAAGAATGTTTGGAACTTATGTAGATGAATATTTGACTTCTAGAATTACGATGAATTATCAAAAAATCATTTGAGTTATACCTAAATAAGTCATCTTGAGATCACAACATCAAAAATGGATTTTAGTAAAAACTTCATGCAACCCGTCAATGATTATACCTGTTGGTGCTTCTATCAATTTTTATTGATTCTTGATGTTGGCTTGAAAACTCAGACCAAACAAATCATTACAAAAAAACAAAAAAACGTGCTACAAGTAGCTAAAAAATACCTATGAGCTTAACTACAAAAATTATCGCATTGTCGGTGATGATCTACTTGTCAGATTTGTAATTCTAGTTAAGATGAACGAGATGGCGTACTTTCAAGAGTCTTATTTGTTTAGATGATCCGAATTGATATTGCGTATCAAATTTGTTCGCGTGAAGAGGTTTCTTTTTGTTTCGAGTTAGCTTCACGTTAATGTGCTGCAACATCTTCATATTTATATTCATCATCTTAGTTTGTCTTCTATCGAGTCAACACAATACATCTGCTTTTTCTTGTTTGATTTGATCTTTCACGCCCTATGCCCTAAGAGTTGAAACTTCAACATTAAAAACTCTTAATAAGTCATACTTCTTCAATTATGCACTCTCTAATCTCTTTGAGTTTTATTATAAATCTATATGTTGATCCACAATTTTATTCTGGTGTTGATTGTTAAGCAAAAACACAAAAAAATCATTTGCGCGCATCCAATTGCAAAAGAATATGTGGCTCGTCTTTAGTTACCTTCAAAGAGATATAATAGTTTAATATTAAAACCCAACACTACTTAACAGTTGTTGTAATCTTAAATTAGATCAAAACAAAAATTCTAAAATCTGGGCTCTTTGAATTATGAAAACAACGTGAGTTATCATTTATAATTATTTACTTATTTATCAACTATTTAAATATTTCATTGTTATTTCAAAAAATTAGACAAAACCAAACATTAACAAAAAAGCTATCGTTACATAGTTACTTAATCTAGAGTGTTGAATATGAATTTTCAGGAATTTATTATGAAAATAAAAAATTTCATATAGCAACTATCTTTCTACAAATGATTATTCACTGAGATCAAGATGTTAATCAAACTACTTAAAATCAAAGTTTGTAGTCAAATGAATAAGTAATTCATGTTGAATTGATCAAATGTCAAGTAATTTTCAATCTTGTTATCTTTTAAAATTTCCAAATAATGAAGTTGCATAATTGATCATATTTTATTCATTTGTCTTTTGAATCTTTTGCAAACAAATTATCTGCTTGATATGCGATTTCTAAAAAAACTAAAACTAAAATTAGGCAATCTAAAATTTTTGATTTTCAAATGAACAACGCAATTTTTTCTAGAGTTGAAATTCTTGAATGTTGAATTTTTTACTCATCATTTGTTTATTTTCAAAAAAAATTTAATCTTTAAAATTTTCACTTTTATTTATTTGCAAAATATTGTTTGTATAATTTTAAATTATTTATTAATGTTTATTGATATTCACAATGACAAACACTTTTAACAAACTTTTCATGTAAGATACATGTATCATTTTAACGAAAATATAATTATGTATTGTTATTTTTATTCTAAATGATCTTTATTTCATATAGAGTTTTTTTAAATATTATTTTATTTTAATACAATCATGTCGCTAGAAGAGAATGTAATGTCACAAACGGATTTCAAAATCACATGAGAAGATAAGTACAAGGCTTCGATGGCGTAGGCATGTCTCGAGGCCTCAACTTAGCTCATCTAGATTAGATCGGTAACTTACAACTTTCAAGTATAAAAGGAGAAGTAGATTATATCTTGGTCGTTCGGCAGATCAACTCTAGTTGATGGATCAATGAAGTCTTAGTTATGTTCTTTTGTCTACTCTTGCTCTACGTTAGTATCTTTCCTTGCTTGCTTGCAACTAGGCTTCCTATTTTAGCTCAACCTTGCATGGTCCATAACATCAACTTCGCTCAAATTGCAAAGTAATTCCAAAAGAAGAATGTCAACCAAATGCAAAACTTCAACTCTTGAATGTGAGTACAAATATGCCAACAATTAATTAGCAAAGAAAATTGATCTTGAATTAATCCAACCAAATTGGCATGAAAGAACTATCATTGTCCAAATGTAAGGTTGTTGTTTGCTGGAATTGAAGCTAAGCTCGTTTGCTCGATGAATGCAAAGCGATATAAACTAGTCAACAAAGACTAAAATATTTAATTTTTGTTAGTGGAATATGATTCTTTGTTCTTGCATACTTTTGACACATTCGTTAGCATGGTCTAAAATCTCACTTACGATTCTAAGCAAAATTCATCAAGATGATGTGAGCATCTCACGAATTGGTTGAAAATCATCAATATGATCAAAATAAATCATGATTTTAGATAATGTTTTGACCAAAAATTATGATATGCGGTACATTAAAATCCAAATCCAGTTGGTAGTAGACAAATTTGAACAAGTGGTTTGCATTTTGTGAGTCAGAATCTTTTAATGTTGTAAAAAAATTAATGAGTTAAGAATCTTATAAAATTCACAACTTGTGTTTTTTAAATATTTTGCATCACGGTATCTATCTGATGTAGCAGACATCATACATACAAATAAATATAGACTTACTATATGTTGAATACTAGTGACAACTCGGAATAAATGCTAAGTAACACTATTGGTTGAACATTCAATTAGCTTATCCTTACATAATGGACAAACTGCATAAAACAACTTTGAAAACATATCAAACATGATCAATCTAGTATATCGATTAGAAAAAAAAATCATAATAAGATGAAAAATTTGAAACGATGAATTTCGATAGAATCTTATTTTGATGTCAATCCACGATATTACTTGCATATAACAAGATCCATCAAAAGCCACAAAAATTGCTTATTTGAAGTGCAGAATTTGTGCAATGTTCTTAATTGATATTGCTCATGTAACATATATACCTTCTAACCATATAACATAATCATATATTCATTGCAAAATTTCAATTTGACATTGTGTCAGAACTCTTTTGCATCCTAAACTGCATCATAAAAGACTTTAGTCAAGCAACAAAATGTGTGAAGTTCTAATTGATTTGTATGCAATATTGTCATCTTCGGTCGGTTTGAAAAATGACATTGCCTTTACTCAAGATTTACCATCGAAACCGTTTTCATGCAAGAGCATTTTACCAATAATCACGTCAACCATTGAAACTTTGATGACAAAAGTCTTCATGGCAGATTGGCTTTTCCTGTAATTAGAGATAGTTTCGGCGTGTTTGACGGAAACATCAAAATACTTAGACTTCTGCTCTGGTGAAAGCTTTTGATATTACCTCATCTAAATTGGTGGTTGATGAGAAGATGTTGCGTTTAGTGATAGTTTAAGAAAGTATTACACTCAAATGTCCAAAACGTTGATAATTTTTTAGCAACAATTTCACTTACTATATATAATCAATAACAATCATCAAGGATTTTGGAATATTGAGATCACGAAATGCTTCAATGATGATGAAACTTCATCTTCTGAGCTTCAACTGTGTAGTGGGTTCATTGCAATCCATCGGATGCAGCAAATGATCAAAATTGTAGTTAAATTAAATAATATTGCAGAAGCTTTTTCAGCCAAAATAGCTAACTAAGATAATTAAATAGCATTAAATTGGGAAACTAACATACTTAACCTCATGGTTGCGAATTATTGAATATATGCAATCTATGACAAAAATTTCCGTATTTAGAGAGTCCGCTAATGCCAGACAAGCAAACATCAATCAAATATTGATTTCCAAACACAATCATCTTCAAAACTTGCGCAAAATAACAATATATGAAATTTTGAATGAAATAAATCTTGACCCTCATTTTTGGGGAAAAATATGCATACTTACCCGGGAGGTTACTATAATACTTTGTTGAACAAGCATGGGCGTTTCCTGGACATCGGACACCAAAATGGATTCTCTTCTGTACATCCTTGTTGGCCATACGCGCACAACTTGATCGAGCGAAGCATGCTCCTACTTTGTGATCGCATTATTAAAAGTTTTCCTCGATCCTTAGCTTGTGACTCAAATTGCAGTAGTCAATCTTTCGAGACGCCGAGACCGAGTGAGTCTCCTTTTAGTATTTCGTCGTACAGTATTTGTTGTCGTGGTCCGCAACAACTTCAAGCTGCAGCGTTCAGCTCTTGAATGCTTCAAGAGAACGATACCTATGCTTGATTCACTGCGTCCGATGAAACGGGATTCTTTAACCAAGTGCCGACTCCTGTCGGAAATGGGGTAATAACTATTTCGAGCGAAAAGAATATCAATGGTTGTGGTCCATCAGGAATTTAGCTCCTGCTGCTCCAGCATTGTTGAATACATCAACAATGTGTAGCAACACTGTCGACTGTTGGAATTGCGGAGCTGCGGAGCGAATACATGGTTCGCCTTACTTACAAAGCGGCTGGGAAGTCCATCATGATCAAAATATAAGATACGAATCAGCTCAGTAGTCATGTTGTGATGTCGGTTTGACATGAAAGGTTCAAAGCTATAATTCATCTTGCTGTAGGAAGATTCTCAGGAAACAGCTGCCTTGTTTTACGGTGCAGCTCAATCACACGCACGTTAGCTAAAACGGAGATGTTGCTCTGTGACAGAACAACTCCCCAGATATCCAAACGGGATAAGTAGAGAGATTGCGGTGCACCTGACATTGCGATCCATTTTGCTGGCAGGGCTCAGTCCAAGGCTCGCTAGAAGGTGACAGTTGCTTGAGCTGATCACCGATCAGCTCACACGAGATTACTAAGTATAGGCTGGAAAGAGACTCGGAACAATCGGCATGATGTAAGCTTGCTTAATGTGAAAAGAACGAGAACACCATGAACCACAGCCACCCGTCTTTCTGGTCACTCTCCTCGGGATTCTTCAGCTTTCTACGGTTGCAACGAGCAATTATTCTCCATTATTCGAGACAACGAAGTAACGGGCCAGATTTCAAATCTCCTGTGCGAGTCGGGGAGGAGGTTCTAGCTAAAATATGTTGAAACGGGATGCTTTTGTGACAGGAAATGCAAGCCCTCCTAACGATCATGTCGTCGTAGTAACGTTGAGGGTGCATCTCGTTACGGTCACTCTTCAGTACACGAGGACGAATGGATCAGACCCTTTCAGTTGGGTCTGATCTCGAGCTCGAGAGCGTGGTGGAGGAATAATTTTGAGTCTTCACCTTCCGTGCTCCGAGTTGGCCTAGCAGGCCTGTTCAACTGAGGGCCACTGATCAACGACCAAATTCTCGTTGTCCTCGATAGAGTCGTAACATATGCCAGTCGCCGACCGACATATACAGTGCATGAACAGACTTGACATCCAGCTTGCTAACATGAAAGCGTATCGGGATAGAGGCGAAGGTCAGGATATCTATGGAGGGCAAACAAAACTCGCCATCCAATTCTCAAACTGTGGAATTCGAGATCTCCATGAAGATCTAGAAAATGCCCCAGCAGAGTCGGAGGTACTAGACAGCTCAGCTTCTGAAGCCCAAGCTCGCAGGGAAGAAGAAGAAGAAGAGCCAAGGGTTGACCGAGCAGAAGGATCAAGAGTGGAGGTTGAGAGTGTTCAACGAGGGCTATTGGAAGTCGAAGTACGACGACAGGGTCAAGATCGGCCTCGAGAGAGTTCAGCGCAATCTGATATAAAAAGTCAGAAAGTGGTAACTCTAATTCAAGATCTCAAAGAGATTGGTGTGTACGATTCTTCCAAATGACCTGCAACCTCCTGAATTGTGAACACTTAACTTTTTAATATTTTTCACCAGGGAGGCGTGTTATTGGGATACTGCAAACAAAATCAGTCCTTACACTTGCCGTAGAGAACCTTGTGAAATCACTGTCGTCTTAGTGACCAGGTGATCAACAGATTTCTTCTGATTCTAAACATCCTTCTATGCCTGCAGTTAAAAGATACTCACATCGGGAGAGCGTCAGTAGTGTAAGCCAGACAGTTTTTGATGAGTATGCAGTGGAACGTGTTCTTGAAGACGACTTGCAGATTTTCTATCATGATCCAGCTGAGAGGAAGAGGTTTGAGCATGATGCAGCTGAATATTCTCAAGCACCAGATGAGTGTGTACAGTTATCGTGTCAGGACGTTGCCAGATACTGCAGACATGTTCCTTCCGAGTTTGTAGTTCCTGAGAACTCTCGACTCTGTTTACAATTGCAAGACCAGCAATGGCCACTTCAAGCGGACATGGATATTCCAGTCATAAGCCTCATGCCTCTCATGGCAGAGGAGATGGCTTCAGAGGAAGAAATATTTCTACTGAAGTGCCACATTTCTGAAGCATGTAGGGAGTGGGGAGTTTTCCAGGTAAGTACATGAAAGAAATTTTTTCTTGTAAATATTCTTGGCTGTACGATCGAAACTGCAAGATTCACTCCAGTGTGCATCCGACTTGTAACCCAACCGATCTGGTTGGTGGAAATGATAGTGCGCTAGATTCTGGGCAGGGTGCCGATAGTATCAGAAAAGGGCTCAAAATGCAGACATTCATGAAGGTGTAATTTATTTTCTTGAAGTTTTATTGACACTTGAAGAACAATCAGTGCGTTCTCTTGCCTTGATTCGAGAAACTTCAGACTTCTTGATCAGAAATATAACGCCCTGCAGCCATTACGCAGGTCCTGGATCATGGAATCCCGAGATCGGTGCTGGAGAGTGCACTACACGCAGCCCGGGGTTTCTTCAACCTCCACGAGGAACTTAAGATGCGTTACTCGTTCAGCCAATATCTTGATGGAAGCGGTTATGGCGGATGGAAATCAATCCATGCACGTAACTGGGGCGACAAAGTGCTGCACGTACTTCATGTGGACAAAACGCTGGAGGAAAACGATCTGCCTGAGCAACCTCCTAGTTATGGGTGTGTAGACCCAAACAATGAATATTGCTCACCAGCTAAGAAGCAAGCCAGAACTCCAGAAGAAAATTTGATCATCCCCAGCTCTGCTGTTTCGAAATTTTTCGAAAACTGACTGCTTTTGTTTCTCTTGCCCGGAACTTATTTCGACCAGTGATGTGCTGCAGGGAAATCATACTGAAGTACGCAAAATTAGTCATGGTGATGCACATGCAGTTGATTGATGCTTGTGCACAAATTCAGGATGTGGATGTAACTGACTTGGAAGCGGCTCTGAAAGAAGAATGTCTGAATATACTTTCAAAATCCTACAGCACCCCACCTCAGGACACTCTGCAACAAAGTTTCTCTATAGATCGCAGAGCTGCTACGGTTTATGACGTGGGGTCTTCTACTTCAGATGCTGGAAGAGCTGAAATTCATGAAGACGAGGACAAGTACACTGACGCAATGGCACTTAGTGTGAATTACCATCCACCTTGCCCCCATCCCGAGCTCGTGTTAGGCAGCGAACCATGCTTTGCTCGATGTCCATTCGAGATAGTCCTGCAAAATGAGGTTCTCGGCCTACAAGTTTTCAAAGAAGGTCGATGGCGGACTTTGAAGCCTGAGCCAGATGCTCTTGTAGTGATTGTGGGAAAAGCATTAGAGGTAAGTTTCTGTCAAATGTTGGAAGACGTCGCTTTCACTTGTTTCTACTTACCGATCCTTCTAAAGTGCGGAATCTGTCTTTTTGCCCCAGAACGTATCAAAGGACATGGTAAGCCAGTATAAGGCAGTAATGTTCCGAACACTCTCGAACAAGGAAAAGGATCACTTCAGTATACATTCAGCACACGGTGTGTATGTAGATAGTCACGTGAATTTTCATGTCCCAAAAGGATAATGATGTTGAGCAAGTACTTAATCTCCGCAGTAAATCTGGACATACGTATAGGCAGTGTACATTGCAAGCACCTCTGATCATAATAAGTCTTCAAAGGTTCTTGTGAAACCTCAATATTACAACAAGAATGAGGTGAAATTGAACTAGTAGGATCCATTGCAACAGAGATATGTATAAAGGACATATTTCTAGAAATAATGTATAGCTTATGTCCAAGACCTTGATCTGATACAATTGTGCAACTTTTCACACCGAAATTGATTGGCCAACCAAGTTCTGAACACTGAAAGAAGTAGATATTAAAGATATCAAAGATATAGATTATGTACATGTTCACCTAAAAGCCCTGAAGACATCATACAAGGCGGCACAGGATTGCAAATCTCAGATTAATCTAAAAGCACCTATAAATGATACAAGCTCTGACTCTGCTACCTCTTCTTCGGTGTAAACGTAAAAGGATCAATACCAGCTGCCATGCGCCGGGCAGCAAAAGCTAAAGTGAACCTCTCATCTTCGGTAAGAGGCCTTTCTATGACTTTGATAGTGTTCAGATCCTGCAGGAAAAGTCCAAACTTGAGTTAGGGGGCGTGGAAAAGCAGAATCAAGTTCCTGCTTCCTACACTGCATGTTTAACCACTGATCGCTGCGCCCAGAGCGCTTTGAGATGACACCAGGACGTGTCTGCAAATCTCTGCGCACAATTGCCTACACCACACATCTCTCCACAGGAGTTGACACGAGAACTCAGTTCCTTGACCTTTATTAGATACCTTAATGTGGCCGCGTTTTGGAGAGTCAAATTTGAATGAAGCTACATCGCCAATCTTTATCACATTGTTGATATTGCCCCATTTGTCCACTTCAGTAGGCAGACTGCTAGAATGTCTCCAATGACCACCAACAATGAACTTGTAATTGTACCTGAAGAAGTGGAAACAGATGAAAAGAAAAACCGGAAGAAATGACGTACGAGCTTGATGGACAAAATCGACTATTACATCATCGCACGTTCTCTCTACGCCCAGCTTAGAATAACCGGATATAAGTGGGAGACGTCGACCTATCCAGTATTCACATACTCTCAGAACTTAACCTGCTTCAACATTTGCGGCAACTCTAAAAGAAGGTGACCAAATTATATGCATCCCTACTTACTTTCCTTGTGGCAAGTGGAGGTCCACCGTGTACTTCGGCCCACTCGCATGCACTGCTTTTATGGGCTCATTCCACCCGCCTTTAAACTCTCCCACCAGCAAAACCTCTTCACCCTGCAAATGGTTCAAAGATTATAAAATTCTCTGGAGTTACACCTACGGAGACCAAGTTTCTGATATTCCGCATCTTTCAGTTGAATACAGCCAACAAGCAGTCATTGTTTTAGGAAAAAATGTGAAATGATGCAGTACCTCTCGGCACCCATGATTCCAAACGAACTGTACAGCATGGGTCGGAGGTCCCTTGTGTTCAACTCCTTGTTCCGCCATAGCAATAAGATCCCAAGTGGCCCAAACTAGAGCTGGCCTGATAAATCAAGAGACAAGCAATGAAAAACTCAAATCAGACATGATAGTCAAAAGAAATGAGCACACGAAGTCATAAGAAGCATAGTTCAAATTCTGTTTTCTATACGAAGAGTAGCGACAAAAATTAACAGATCCTCCGCTCTATGGCAAAGTGAGGTCGAATACATGTCTGGTCCACAAGGATGGAGCCTTTTGATGTAGTCCACCGCCTCTTGAAGAGCTACGTCTTGTATCCAATGCAAGTAGGCAATGACACAGGCCGGTGAGCGATCCAAGCCTGTGGTGCATGTCACGTATACTCGGCGACCTTGCCGTAGCAGCCGATATAAGATCCCCACAGCATAAGGAAGTTTTCGCCGTAGATCCACTGAGTCGACATCCCTGTGACAGCAAGGTCAATCAGCCCATCTTCAAACCTATGACATGTGACCACTAAGCGAATAGAAATGTTCGCACAATGAAGACCTTTTCAATTTTACCTTATTGGACAGTTGACCATTATGATACCATCCTCTTTTGCGGCCCGTTCAATGGCATCTCCATCAATGCCCCAATTTGACTGTTCACTCTTTCGCTGCAAATTCAAAACGGCAGTGATTCCCTGCAGCAAAGCCTCTCACATTAGCAAGGACGAGATAGATGCAACTCACATGATCAACACAAAATGTCAGAGTGGAAGGAGAGAGCCTTCGTTTGAATAATAACCGCATCTCCTCCTTTAACTTGAAAGGATGTGGAGAGGTTGATACATTGCAATATATCCAGGGAGAAGGAGCTCCTCACCAATCTGTCCATAAGAAGGCGACGATCTTCATCATTATGAATGCAAGAGCCAACAATTATATGATCCGTAATCTGGATACAACAGTGAAACGACAGTGGTCAGATATATGAGATACTGAGTTAGAAGGACACTAACCAACAGCAATTTTCCACTCAACGGGTGTAAATGCGAGGAATATACAGTGAAACTAGGATTTGCTTCAAAATCGAAGGAAGGGACAAAATTCTTTACCATATGCACCACCTCACCTTTGAGTAACTTATTCCCCGGGACGGATTATATGTCAAGTCAGTTTCGGACCTCTCCAGAGCGTTCAGATATTCTTCCTCATTATAGCTGCCGTGAGTCCACTCTATTTCCCCATCTGACAAATCTTCATCACTAAAAGAACCGATTACTTCGTACGTCTCTTCATCACCATACCGTGCATCCTTCGACATACGCCCAAAGTGAGTGTAAGAATCCTCATCCTCACCGTCCTGAGATGCTTTCAGACGTGCGAGCCGGTGGAGTTCTTTCGGCAAAACATATCTGGAGGAAAATGTAGCGAAACCAACATTCCCTCCATGAGGTTTCACTGACGGTTGATAAGGCTCAACCAGACTGCTGTTGTTCCATGTAGAAAGGGCAACTCTCCCCACGTTAAAGGGTGCTTCACTATTAGCAAACGTGGACCGGCAAACTGGCGGGGACCTCTCAAATACTAGGCTCACAGAACCAACCCGTGACTTGATTGCGTGCCTGTCCAAGTGCCACAACTTATTGGTTTGTTAACATAAAGCTCTAGAACCATAATATCATCATGGATATGAAGAGTTACCATCAAAATATACTGAAAGAGACTACACTTCCCTGGAATGGCCATCATGCTCAAGCTGGTACAAAGTGATAAAGACAAATGCATTCTCCAGGTTTCTCACACAAAAACAAACTGAGAGGGCAATTTACATTGTTCGCCCGAAGTCATTTACATCCCACAGCTGATCACCGAAAACAGCACTCGTCTTTTTCAGAACATCCCCTATCATGACAATGCGAGTTCTGTCCGCATTCCCCTTCAGTAAGATGCAACAACATTAGGTACAAGCTGTAACGCACTTTGGCCATGTCATTCCTCTATACATCCGAAATATGTAGACGATCGTACGAGATCAAATGGTGAAGAATCAAATTCACAAAAACTGAGGAAAAGTAGTCATACAAAATCCAGATGGTCCGGACGATCATGTAACGAGAATATTCATGTCCTTACATTTTTCGCAAGGGCCTCGACATACACTTTTCCAGTCAACGTCTGCGCGAATCGAATGCCGACAGGTTTGTCCAGAGTGACCATATATTCATCGAGATTGATTTTTGACAGCTTCGTGGCCACTTTGGTGTCACCTGACTTGGAACGTATCTGGAATCTCACCGCCCTCCGAGGAGTAGAGAGCGCAGGCACAAGCAAGGTTGTCGACAAGAGGGCCTTCTTCCACCTCAAAAGCTCAGCACCTCCGAACTCGAGGTTCTTGGAAGGCTGGAGGGAGCGAGTCCCCTGCATCCTGGCGAAGTAGGAAGGGAAAAAACTCAATCGCGATCGCAGCACAAGCCTCTGCCTTACATCCACAGGACTGCCAGAACCAGCAGCTGATTCCACCCGCCAGCTGAGCGGATTCATCACAGCCGTGGCCCCCACGGCGGTCGCCATATTGCATCCCACGCACCAAATTCACCTGATCACATGCCAATCATAAGTCCCAAGCAGAATTTCACTCAAGTCGCCGACTTGCTTGAGATCATTCGCCTCTAGGGTGGTGAAACTAGCAGCGCCCAGCTGGGCTGCCTCTGCAGATGACACCACCACTTCGAAGCACTCGCATCGATCCATTCCTCCGGCCCAATGCTCTCAAATCCACGCAATGAGTTCTCGAATCGCCTCGCGCGTACAGCAAATTCGAATTCAAATCGATAAGTCAAATTGCATCAACCAGGAGGTGCCATTACAGAATGATACAGTCGGAGTTGCGATCGAGCTCACTCACCAGAGACGGATCCGAGGCGCGGAAGATGAGGCGAAATCTTGCGCACAGTAGTGGCACAAGGCCTCGAGAGACCAGCGGCAGCACGGGGCGCGGCCCGGATCGTGGGCCCACAGCTCCGGCTTTGGCAAACGCAACGAGAGTCCTTCTCGACCCCTCGCATCGCAGGAGTCGACAGCATGGCGTCCACGTCGGCCGCGCGCGCCAATGACAGAGATGCAGAACCATTGCAGGTGCAGATCTTTGTGAGCATAGGACACGCCTTGTCGTCCTGTCCTGACCAGAGCATGCTCTTCCATGCTCTTCCATGCTCTCTTTGACGACACGCTGAATCACAATCTCTAACTGCACCCTCTGTGACTGTTACATGCTGTTACCATTCGAGACGGGCATGGATGGTTGACAATCGCGGACAAGGATCCCGAGTTCTCGAGAAAGTCGGATGGGAAAGCCACATCAATGGTCTGTTGTCGCTATTGGACACTGATTAGCACAAATCTATTGCAATGTATATTTTATTACTAACTTTTTCTTTTGAGCAGAAATGCTTTCACTTCATGCAATATGCATTTTTATACACGGCTGAAAACATTATCCATCCCGAAACTTTTCTTTAAAAACATTTACCCATTTTCACATATAGATAATACAGATATTTTGAATTTTACATATGTATAGATGTACGATACCGTATCCTACATCTGTGTCCCGTATCGACGATACGGGACACAGATCCAAAGAATTTTTCATGCTTGCCAGAGACAAAAGTATCTTAGTATGACATAAGTCATCATGAAAAACGTTATACATCAGCATACTTGCAATATCTGCAACGTCATAACGCATGAAATACTGTAGATATGTTTTTGGTATTTAAGTTCAAAATGTATTTGAACTGACGAAGATCTGTTGAAATTCAGTATTATGTATTTATTTTAAAATCATACAACATAACTTTGTTAAGGCATATGTTCATGATGAGTAGTCTTATTACATTTCTATCGTATTTAACGTAATGTCCATCGACATAAACTTAAGTTATTGTACTCGATTATTAGTAAAAATATTTTCATACAAGCGTACTTCACTAGTGTTATCAACCATTTACGAGTCCAAGCAAAGTTTTGATTTTAGCAACTTTAACTGCATTATTCACGTTTATAATACTGATTTCTTAGAAGATCACATCATTTGACTGATTATCCAACTCCGAGCAATATAAATTAAAATCTTGTTAAGTCAAGTTAATGTAACTCTAGTCAATTGTCCCAGGTTTAATCTCTACTATGACATTTAGCATTCACCGTCTATGACATTGGTTAAATGTATTTTGTTCGGCAACAGTCCACCTCTATTACAATGGAGATGGATCTGGAATTAACCCCTTAAATATGTAAGTAGGGCAAAGTAAGAAACACAAACTTTAAGCTGGAAAGAACATCTCATTCCATGAAAGCTAGAGAAAAAAACTTGGTCTGAAAACGGCATGTAAACAATTTAAATTTCATCTGTTTCTTCTGAACTGAAAGAGACGATCTTCCACATTAGTACGATCTTCTCTATGTAGAGCGCCAAACAAAAAGCGAATCTGCAATGCGGATAGCGAAGGAAAGTGCGCAACTGCAGTGAAGATAACTAAGAATAATAGTGGGAGTGCATCAAATGTGTCGATATTTTTTTTTAATAGGTCACTGACCTGAGTTTCTCATTCACCACTTCGGGGAATTTCACAAAAACTGCGGATATCTCTGATGATGGCATATACAATCTGATGAAGAAAACTGGACTATGATAATATTGAGAGCTACTTCAACGAGAAACCTTCCAGAGTGGCATTAAGGAAACAATCAGGAGAACCGATAAATAAGGATATCCACATACCATAAAAACAATATACACCAACTCAATGTATCAGCTCAATCGTGCTTCGCTACGGAGTGGACATGTTGGACATAGCATGAAAACATTCGATTCTCGGGGTTTATGTTACAGGGACCAGTAAGCAATTGTGCATTTCTAGGGTCAGCTATGTACAGGCGGGTGGAGGACATGAAGCCATTTATGGTAGCCCACTACCTCAGCAACGGCAATGGAAGACGTTCACACTCAATTCCTTCTCTTTGACGACTTGACGAGCTTAATAAATTGGTTATCTTACATGCACCGCTCAAAGAAACGAGTGAGCATGCAGCCATTATCTTCATCCACTTCCTCAAACCCTCGGGAACTACAATTTCCAGCTTCCACTAAGGGGGTCTGGTGTAAACTTCACAACGCTGTAGATGCTCAATCCTTTCGCTTCAGAAGAGGAACAAAAAGAGAACCTTCAGTGGGCATCGTACTACAGAGAATCTAACGAACGTTTGTGGGCAATCTTCTGAATCGCTTGTATTCCCTTAGCTACAAAGAACCAAACTTACTCAGAGCTGATTGCAAAGAATCAGCAAAAGCCGGAGCCAAGCTCGAATCATCAGCTTTGATTTTTGCGCTTGCAAGACCAGATGATGTGGTTACTACCAACTCAACCAGAAAGAAACCTGTATTGGCTGGTGCGTCAGCTAGCTGTGCAAAGAAGAAAAACTTGAGAGGAGCGTTTCCTGATGCCATACATTGCACCGAGTTCGTTTGCATGTGCCGCACTAAAGGTTGTGGCCCAGTCAACCCCACCATGGCTTGAGCAGGGAACGTGTACTCCTGCAAGGTTGCCACCAAAGATCAACACGCTTTCAGGTACTTTTTATCTACAGAAGTTACACAGCAGCTAAATTACGTGAGATATAACAACATCAAACTACCCAAATATTATGAAAAATCAAGTGTACCCGTACCAAAGTCAATGCTACTGTCAACTGTCCCCACTTGCGCTTGAACGAAGCTGGATCCAGTACAGGCTTGGGGTTCAGTTTTAGTGGAGGGAAAGGCTCAGCTGAAGCACTCGGTCCCAGCCCAAGTAAATCGTCCACTGCAAGAAGAGGTGAGGCAGCAGTGCTTGACACGGCAGCTGGAGGCAAGGGGGTAGCGCGAGCATTCCGTATTGGTTGCGTGGGCGATGGAGAACGAGGCGCAAACGCAGAATCTGTGAACTCTTGTAAGGTATGGAATTTTGAAGAACTGTAACCGTGAGACCCATTACTTACAGCCCGACTATCTTCCTTCTCATGCGCACTAAGAAGTAGGTCATTATCCCTTGCGTCGATGTCACTTGGAAGATCTTCCCGGCCAGGAGACTGAGGTCCAATTATAGATGATCCAGTATCTTCAGAAAACGCGAACGGACTTCGTTGGTCCTTGTCGAGAAACATGTACGACGGCTGCACTCGAGAAAGACAAGCCACATTATCATTCAAACGTCAGAGATAGACAGCAGCAACCCCACATACTTCAAGAAAGATAGTAACCCAACATAAATCACCCAACACCTTCTTGGAAAAACTCACCTGGCGATACACTACTGCCAAACTGTTGAACTCATCAAAGATTCGGTCTTTGATCTCACTGCTTTGATCGCCAGCGAAGACAGAGACGGCCTGTTTAGGCGGATTGATAACACGCTCTGCCACTTCCACACTATGCTGCAGCAGTCTGTAGTATAGTAATGCCCTGTCGTGGACGTCCTGCGAGAGAACATTACGTGCGGGCTCAAGAGGAGGATTGACTAGCAGATGGTATCGGCGGCTAATTAACCAATCAACATTATGACTTAGAGTACAAATTCCTCTTACGTGTCGAAACTAAACTGAAACAGACTGAATGGATACTGGCTCTCATAGCCTGAAGACAAGAGACCCTTTGGTCGTGCTAATGGTATGGACGAAGAAGGAGAAAAAGCGAAAGTACAAGGAAAGTGACGAACTATTTCACGTCTGGCTAATATTGATAAAATTCGTTGAAAGTTCGAGTTGTGGACCAAAAAAACCTTCACTGGCTCAGCTACTGAGTTTTACAAGCCCGAAAAAGAGATACACAATATTAAATAGATGGACCATAAAAATATGTGCCTTTCCAAATTTCATTTTGGAAAAAGAAACGCCCAATTTACCTGATTTGCATCTGCGAAACCAAAGGAAAGAGCTGCCCCCAAAATCTGTACGGTCTCTGGGGGCCTTTTAAAGAAACACTTCGCAACAGCAGTTAACAACTCCAAACGCACCTGCCACGCATAAAGTGGACAAAATCAGAATCTATCAGACTATCTTGAATTACGAAGTCGGCTAGGACTAACGGTCGGAGTCGGGTAGAAACTTTTAAAACTTATTTGAAACAAGCATACACGTAAACGCATTACCTCCGCAAAATCTTCTTCAGCCCAACTCTGAACAAAACCCTCGAGGACATAAGGAGCATCACTCATGTCGTATGCATACTCTCCTAGCATCCACACCAGGGCTGCTTTGGCTTTCGGCTCTGTAACGCTCTTGCTGCTGACGTTACCAACCACAGCAATACAGTCGTGGCTCCACTGGGGATACTTCCGCAGCAAGTCTTTCACAAGAACCTGTCACGGTCAGAAAACCATTCACGAATCCGTCAAGTGCACGATCAAGGCGAATAAATTATCTCGAAGGAAATCCGGATTTGGAAAGAGCTGCTCACATGTGTCCGGTATACTTGAAAAATAGCTCACTTTCTTAATCACTTGGAACACAGACACCTTTTGTCAATTTCTGGTCAGTATGCGAGATCTATTGTCTCCAGAGTATGATGTGCAAGCACTGATGCTTATAGTTACCTTATAGCGCATAAAACTGTAAAATGATTCCAGTGATGCTACAAAGTTTTAACCCACTCCTTGCAGAAGGGAAGTGATGCAGTCCAAGTGACCACTGTCAACAGGGCTGCGTTATCTCAACGACAAACTAGATAAAAGGCGTCTTGACAATACTGACCAGAGTTTCGGCTGTCACATAATCCTTCTCCATCTCGAGAAACTGTAGGAGACGATCTACGATTGCATTTACATCGTATTGTTGCAAAGCAATCTTTCCTACAGCTCGGATAGACTCACGCGCAATTGCCACGTCAACGTTTGCAGCATACTCGCTCAGCTCCGTCACTATTTAAACAGAGAAATGCCTGCAATAAGTGCATTAAGAAAGATACTTTCCTACTCAAATACGCTGAAATACCCACAAATTCTTCTTCAATACAAACATCTACAGAAAAGGAAGCGCACATTGATGCCAGCTTTCTCTTTAGTACAGAGGACCTTCACATGTATAGCCTGCACGGGATCCGAAAATGCGCCCCACATACCCTTGACAGTCTATTTTCTACAAACGTCCTTTGATCACCAGTTAAGGGAACTGGCCCACCCACAAGGTCCTGTAGAGAATCTAAAAGTGTCCGTGGCACCACCACAGAAATTTTGCTGCTATTAACGAATTCGAGGAACTTAACATATTGATCTAACGCATAACCTGAAACCACAACCTACCTCAGAACCTGATCAAACTATATCCTTACAGTACGACTGAATGTAGTCGAAAAACAAAGACTATATAAATGTCGAGACCTTTAAACAAGAAACTGATTTGGAAACTTCTGCTTCGTCAACCAGGCAAAAATGAGAGAATACAAAGAAATTAAATCATTTAAATAAATTCCCCCAAAAAATGTGCACCATAACCAGATACAACGTTGCCAGTAAAGTAATTCCCCTGGGGCGAAAGAAGGTTCCACAGTAGATTGCAATCCCTGGTTTAAAGGCTTCAATAGATTTTCATTTCGAGTTAACACAAGAGAGGTCTTTGTCCATGCTATCGCTAGTCTCAGTACTTACCAATTTCATAAGTGTTACTTTCATTGGCCACAGCTGTCAACATCTCCAGCTTCAGTTTCTTCACATAAGATGGATCGCTGTATCGGCAATAAAAGTGTTTGTAGTCTGAAGCAAAAAGCATGGGAGCTCTCATCACAAGGAGATGTAGATGACTTAGAACGGCGTAAGACTGCTCCGCACTTCCTGAGCTGACAAGAGTGAGCAAAGGAGCCTTGATGCGTTCATAGACCTGTTAACACAGGAGGCAAGTCATGAGAGAGATTACGGAGAGGGATCATGTAGAACAATACTGTCTGCAGGAGTTAGCGGGACAAAACAGAGAAGTAATCTTAGGTACACAACACACTTGAGTACCATCTCAGGTACAAGATCAAGTTCAGATCAAACTACCTTCTGATGAACATCGGCCATAGACATGGTCAGATGCAAGAAAACTTTGATAGTAGCAAGCACTACGGCACTGTTTGCATGTTGTAACCTGTCGTCCAGCACATCCATCATATCGTGGGTCTCTTGAGCATCTTCAGGGACGTACTTAGAAACCACTTCGAGTACGAGACATTGTGCCCATTCGCTGAACTCCTTGAACCTGCACAAAGAGAAAATTACACCTGTAAGAAGAACCACTACTGAAGATAGTGAAAATACATTTTCAGTTTACGGGAGCTCGAGCTCTATAGCAGCAACAAGGATCAATTGTTTAGAAAACAATAAACAGCAGCAGTTCGAACCCTACAAGCGCAAACATACTTTCAAATATGAGGACGCACCTGTTCAGAAGCGATAGTATGACATTTCGATGCAGAAGCGATTCTTTCTCTCTCAAGGCTGCTTCGGAAACGTTACCTTCGATGGACAGAATTTCTAGAAGCGAACAGAGGCAATTTGCCACAACCTGACAATGACGAAGGACTAATTCCTTTAGATAAAATTCTCTATTTGCAAATAAATGTCGTCCAGTAACATCAGGATACTTGGGAAATGCAAATGACGCTGACTGTAAGGTCTCCCGTATAAGTCACTACAATTTCGCAACAAAACGCACAATCTGCAAGTACATATGCGGCCTGAAAAGATTCCCAGCAACTTTTTAACCGGGAAACCTATATTACTGAAACTCTTGCAATAGTGAATTTGGCACAAAGATGTCTGTGTCCAGAGCCTCAACTGACTTCATACGAGTAAAACACTAGTTTCTCTCATGAATTATCTCCAACAATATCAAACGTAACCTACACACTGGAACCGAAGTCCTGGCATGTGTATCCAACCTGAGGATCGGAGTCGTGTAGAAGTAAGGCCTTCAGTGTCACTGGAAAATCATTATCAGTGCAAGATGAAGGGGCAATGTGATACAGCTTCAGGACACCGATAGCTGCGACTGATCTCACATATCCATTGCTGTCCTTTAAACCCCGTTGCAACGGACCGACCAGATACTCCACCAAGTTTTTCACTCTGAGTGAGCAGAGACTTCTGAGAGCCAGACCACGAATCATGGGATCATCGTCTTGACAATCCTTTTGTAGAAAATTGATAGTCAGTAAAGCCAATTCGGGATATCCGCGGGCATAGTTTCCCACATACAAGTAGCACATTTTCTTCAGGACCAGATCTGAGGTGGCGGAGCACATAACCATCTCACTAAACAATGACGATACATCGATCCCTACGGTCAAATAAGATATCACTTTCTTGTAAAGCTCCCGCTTCAAATCCTCGACGCCAGGAGCGCGGCTTCCAGCCAGCTGCCGAAGTTGGCCCTTGAGCTCTGCCAGCTCCCCCTTCCGGTTATCCGCATTCATTTTTCCAGATCTTCGATCGACAACTCCTCGAGGACTAAATTCAGTCAACAGGTTCTTCAAGTGAAGTTCTTCCAAAAGACAGTCTTCCCTACGTGCAGCTGTTACCGATCCAGGCCCGCTCACCAAAACCGTTCAGCGATGGAGAGCCTGAATTGGCTTTCTTCACTTTCCATTCCGTTCCACAGTGTTCCTCTTGCCGTCCCTTCACCGGCCAGGCAAGGCCAGGCCAAACCGAAGGATAAGAATTGAAAATGGCTGAAAGGCACGAGAGAATCGACCGCTGGGGCCTCTTCGTACCTACTTCGTGCCTTCGCACGGCGCCTGCAGCAACAGACCCTTCCTTTCTTCCTTGCCGAGATTCACAAGTCGCGCGATTTGGTTGCACAGGGTCCAGTGCCTTCGGAAACTCGTGTTCATCATGCGAACGGCGAAATGCTGCGTCAATCTGTCGCGAGGCGCAACATGTTAACGTACTACTTTAACGTCGGTCGTTCTACGCGTCGTTATCGCTGGCCACGGTTCTGTCGACAGTCGCTCACTAGACTACAAACTTACAGGACCAAAAGGTACAACGTAAAATAAGAACGTGGATGGGAAACCCCTCGTGGATGAAACCAAACGAGCAACATGGCCCTAGGCCCCGACAGACCAACTTTCAAGACCAAAGAGGGTTGCAGTTTCACAGGCTTCATGGGCACAGTTCCGTCGCCTAAGGCTTGTGACAACTGTCAGTCGGGTGCTCGGTGTTGATGAGAAACTAGCTAGAACTGGCGTAAATGTTTTAGTTCGGCTAGACTACTTCGCTTCCCCAGCTTTTTGGGCCTCCCTCTAGTGTTTCAGTGTTCGTACCCTTTGGTCTGACCTATTCCGGCTTTAAACATTAACGTGGCCTATGGCGTTGCAGGTAAGTATATTCGCTCTCTTGACTGAGGCAGTTCACTTGGCTGCGTTGACTTAGCTGGATTCAATCCTTCGGTTGTACTCCGTTTATATCCATCACCTACTCTTCCGGCTTGGGAACGACTTTCGGTTTTTGTCAGTCGAACTTCAGTATCTCAAGATACTCACGAAGCAACGTGGTTATCGATCAATGATAAGTATCTTGGTTCTGCCCTCTGAGAGTTGCACTTGTCTGTTGTTGGCATTGTTTTGTTAAGGAAAATTTGAAAGACGACTTTCTAAGCCACAGGTCTCTTTCACAGATGGCCGCTGATGAGAATCCCGTCGCAGTCTCAGTGTAGTCATTCTTCTGGCTAGGTAACTACCTGAACTTCGGGCACTGACCTCGTCTTCTGTTTCTTGGCACCTGAATTATGACTCTAGCATACTTTTACCAACGAACTCGCTCCACGTACTTGGATCTTAAAGTACTATAACTCTTTACTACCTCTCAATACACAAAGAAACAACAGAGACTGTAAGGCGAGGCCTAGATTTGATTTCTTTGGCGCAAAGTCATTTTGTACTCATTCTCATTGGTGTATACTCGAGAAACAATTTACATCAGACCTCATGCTGGCCATTAGACCAGTGAGTGAGGTGCAAGCCTACAAACAGTGACTCTCTCATCTACCGGGAAGCCGTATCCCCCAAAAAACGACGGAGTTGGAGACTGCCGGACCATGATGTATATTTTGCTCCTTTTCACAATTTCGTGCGAGTTAACACCCGTTGGCAAGAACTTGAAGCAAATTGCTCTTTATGGATAAAAAATGAACTGACTAGAAAAATTGATGACCTGCATGCATGCCAGACAGAGATACCATCTTACATCTACACTTTGCTAACACACATCTCTTCTGTGGGTCCCTACAACCAAGTATATGACTCGCAGTAAATTAGCCTTTTTAACACAAGCGGGTCGTCTATACCCTACCCTGACAACGAGATAACCTGTAGATTGACCCTGACTTAAAGTTCGAAACTAGGCTGTAGCTTTAAGTGACTCCTTCACCGGCGTCGGAAGTTGAATATAAGGGGCAGGCTGCACAAACAGAAATTCCGAATATAAACTTTAGAATGAATTACGTAAGGCACTACTGCATACAGATAATTCTCTTTTTCACCATAACAAGATGAGGTTACTTCCAAGGCCTGGATAGTACTGGCAGCATTATTACTGCTTCTTACTTAATTCTCGTAAACCGCAAAAACATATGTTTGGAAGTCCAACGAAGCCCAAAGGCATTATCCATTTTGGACAAACCTTTTGCCTTTCAACTTGTAAAAACGTTTCGTAATGGGGGCACAAAGTTTCGAAATAGACTCCAAGACTACGAGCGTGATGTACTCAATGGTACCACATAAGAACGACCAAATTAAACAAATATTAAAAATAGAAGGTTGAAGTTTCGCTTACGGCAGCAAGCTCTTCTTCGTGCTTGGGAATGAAAGCAGTATCTACTTTTCCATCTTTGAAGTCCTGCAGTCCACAAACAAAGTCGTGAAATCGGCTTCCTTAAAAAAATAGAAGCCTTGGGAGAAGCTGAGGGAGGAAGGTAAAATGCTTTCAGCAAAAAGTAGTGTGTCAACAGTACGGCAATGAGGTAACTTCCTCAGTACACAAGGCTCTACCTCCTATAATTACCTGAACTTCAAGAATGAGCTTGTGATAATCGAGAGTGGTGGGAATGCCTGTAAAACAAAATACAAACAACATAATATTTCAAGCGCAAAAAACCAGATCCTTTTGTTCCTGATCTCGGTGGCAGATAAATAACCCGAGGAACATGTTCAAAATAATAATCCCTTACCATTCTAAAAATGTCAACCCTATCGGTTCCCTCGAATATGACCGAAAATAGGTGACGACAGTTGATCCATCTGACACATACTAAACCTGAGTAATACTTTCACTTGAAGCACAACATTCATTGCCGCAATCACACAAGTAATATCATTTTGGTGGTATCACCCACAATAGTTGCTACAAGTAGGAGTTCGCTCTATTTTGGAAATATCTTCCTTTGCATTAAGTATAATGTAGTGCAAAGCTGTTATTCAAACGCACGTGTCAAGAACTCACCAGTAATAATTGTGTCACTCAGTGCTCGTTGCATACGTACGATAGCCCTCTCCCTGGTAGGAGCCCATACAATGAGCTGAAGCGAGTAACAGACAAGTTAGTAAACGTTTAAAAACAGCTATTTCTCAAACAGCACACGAATTTACAGGAACAGAACCCCAACTACACGTCGCGTCTCAAAAAGTAAAATCAAGTACCTTGCCAAGGAGAGAATCGTAGCTTGGTGGAACGACATAATCAGAGTAGATGTGGCTGTCCATTCGCACGAAGGGACCGCCGGGAGGCAGGTAACCTGTGATGCGACCTGCAATGGGCAGAAAACCATGTCGCTAAGGCTTGTGACATGAAACACTTTCCTCGATGAAGTCCTCGCTAATCACCTGTCCTCGACGTCGGCTTCGTTCTTCTTTATCATCTTTCGCTAGATTGTATACTATAACCAATTTCGACGACGCCTATTCTTTCCTTGAGTCTAAAACCTGTTCAGTAAGTTTGAGAAATCTCACCTGGCCCAGGGCGAAATCCTTGGAAGGCATCCTCGGCATTAATGCGGCACTCAATCGAATGTCCTCGAATGACAACCTCATCCTGTCGTACAGTTATAAAAGTAAATTAACGGTGGCATGCACAAAACACGATATCGAGGTTCACACAGAAATACCTGAAGTATGGAACAGCATTATTACGAACCTGTGTCATCCTCAACTTTTCTCCCAAGGCAACCCGGATTTGTTCCTCAATGAGATCGATTGAAGTAATCATTTCTGTAACAGGGTGCTCCACCTGCAGTCAAAGTCCAGTAAGAACGTGTTCCAAGATTTCTGTGCAAGGAAACCTGACAACGTTGTATATGAGTACCACAAAAGTAGATAACCTGAAGAACACTCTCTTGACCAAAGTGGATAAAGTTGCACCTGAATACGAGTATTCATCTCCATGAAGTAGAATGAATGGCCATCCTCATCTAACAAAAACTCGATTGTACCGACACCAACGTAACCAATTGATGCAGCTGCTGCAACAGCAGCGTCTCCCATAGCTTTTCGTAGTTCAGGAGTCAAAGCAGGAGACGGGGCCTCTTCCAGAAGTTTTTGGTTTCTTCTCTGCCATGTTTATTCACCCATATACGTAAGCCCTCAGAAAAGAAGAAGGCCTTGCAATTTTAATCACCTCTCTCAAAACTCTTGCAACTTTTCCAAACAAATTGTCGTGTTTATGAACAGGTAGTGCTTTCTAGAAGTACAGGAACCGATATGTCTACGACTAGGAGTAAAATCTATCTGAGACTGAAAATTGCAAACCAGGACAACTACAGAATGTGTTTTCCCTAGCTCCACTTATGAGGAAGGAACAGCTCAACAGATGCTCATTCTAAACTCTGATGAGACGAACAAGGCATCATGTTGAGGCCTAGGCTACAACGACGTGAATGACAGAGTCCATTCTTCCACACGATGTGCCAGAAAAAACTCGCCCAGATTTGTGACTTTCTCCTACCTGGATACTGCAATCACGTTCCCCAAGATGCACAACATTACCGTACTTGTCAGCAAGAACCTGCAAAAACCGAAGTCGTCAGTCTTGGGGGAGGAATAAGTCTGCTAAAGCAACCCTTGAGAACAATACTGGACTCATGCTAGAAATGTACTCAAAAAATATTGTGCTCAAGCTATTCTCAGTTCACTTAATTTGTGAGAAAACAATTATGTCTTTTCTTTCTACTAAAAGACAGACGCAAGTCAAAAATACTACCACTCAATATGTCCAACACATTCAGACGAATCACTAGCGACTTGCTGCATTATCTAGGCTATTCTTCTATCTTGAAGAGAAACCTAGCTCAATCTTTGTGTCAATCTTAGGACGAGGCAATAACTTTGGACTTTTAATGAACACTCATCACCCACCTGGAACTCAATGTGCCTTGGATTCATAATGCATCTTTCTAGGTAGACACCATCATTGCCAAAGGCAGCTCCAGCCTCACTTCTAGCTTGCTGGAATGGCCAACGTCAAGTTTTAGGATTGATAACCAGACCGCAAATATAGAGATAATGAAAGAAATAAACTGAATCTATAAGTGCTACCAAGAAGAATGAGGCAGCTGACATACAACATCAGAAAATGACATCCGGCCGACGTTCTAGTCCTTGAATGTCGACCGTCTGTATTTCTTTTTGTTATTTCTAGGACTAGACTTTTTAAACGATAAAGACGTTCTCACGATGCCAAAACAAAACTTGAGCAGGAGGAATTATATTCTTTAAGCATCGGTTTTATTCTTCAACAATCTTAACGCGAGATCGGCCAAGCAAGGAATTCACCTGTAGAAGTTTGACAAATTCTCCTGCGTCATTCGCAAGTCGCATTCCACGTCCACCACCACCTGCAGTGGCCTGGACAGTCAACCACGCACATAATAGCATCCATAAGAGAACTGAATATGTATAAACAGGAACTTTATGTGCTTTATCTCACACTTTCAAGCCGGGCAACTGATATTAAAAATTGAAAACTTTTCTCTTGAATGACAGAGCAATGAAAGCAACCTTGATCATGACAGGAAATCCAATTTCGTTGGCAACTCGCACAGCCTCTTCGGTTGTCTGTAGAATGACCGTTGCAAACATGTAAGTAGCAAAACAACCAAAATAGGTAGGAAATTGAAGAAGATACGAGAACGCTTTCATCGCCCAGCCTGAACGAGTCTGCTGTTCTACACTTAAGTGCTCAAGAATTCTTACCTCTATCAATCCCGCACTGCCAGGAACAGTGGGTACACCAGCCTTCCGCATGGTTTCACGAGCCGTCGCTTTATCACCCATAACGCGGATACTATCAGGCTGCGATACGGCCGGTATCCAAAAAAATATTGAGAATCCATTACAGCAACTAGAAGAAGCATCCCAACAGAAAGGTCAACGGCAATTCTGAACGAGCCCAATTATTTCAGTTGTGCATCACACAGTGCGATTACAGAGAAAATTGTATGATAACGTGTACGCTCTGTACATGATGATCAACTTGGAGGCACGCTAAAGGGGGGAGGTACCCACGTTGGGACCGATGAAATTGAGTCCGTGATCTCTGCAAATGTCGACAAAGGTGGCGTTTTCGGCGAGGAAGCCGTAACCAGGGTGGAGCATTGTACATCTGCGGCTAAGGGCCGCTGACACAATGTTTGGAATGTTCAGGTACCTGCAAGAGAAACAACGTCATGCTTGTGGTTTCAGAAGGTAACCCATCGGCAATTGGACATCGTAACAAAAATTCGGAAAGACGACTCAGGTCGTGATCCGTCACGGCATTTGAACATCAGACAATTATAAAAAATGTCAGTGCGACCAAGGGTCTGTCACTCCCCGTCAAGACTTGTGCTTACGATTGACTGCTAGGAGCTTCTCCGATACAAACAGCTTCATCGGCAAGTTGGACGTGAAGAGCCTGTCTGTCGATTGTGGAGTGCACAGCCACGCATGGAATTCCCATCTCGTGAGCTGTGCGAATAATACGCACGGCGATTTCTCCGCGATTGGCGACAAGAATTTTTTCATACTCACAGGTGCTTGCAAGGGCTCCACCGCGGGCTTTCCCTGAAGGCGAAGCTGTTGCTTGTTTCCATGCAACAGCGCTTTCACCAACCTGGAAGCTGCTACTGGCGCTTCTTACACTTTTGGCCGCTCCTCTGAGAAGCGTAGCATGAGCTGGGCGGCCAGCCCGAGCACTACATGAAGCAAACGAAGCTCCTGTGGCCTACAAGATTCCAAATGCAAAGATGAGGTGATGACGTTCGCAGCCACATGGAGTAGAAATGACAGCTTATCAGTGTCACTCAAACTCTAGGCGGACGGTTGGGCACAAGAACGCAATGTTCAACAAAACTCATGCCACCTCGCCACTAAACACTCGGTGATGAGATAAGTAAAACAGAGAATGGAAGCCATTGACATTGACACTGAGCATCAGCTGTGAATCTCAGTTCTCAATGACAAATAGAAAGCAAATTGCAACTCCATATCTTGCATCGGATCTCTCACGTACGCTTCTACTTGGACTCAGCCTAGGGCACACCATATTTCATAACACCGACACGTATAACACCCTTTCAGCACATGCACACTACGGCTGCATGATTCTATGAAGGCATTCATGTAAGACCGGCATGTAGTTACGTCTGCCCAGGAAAAAAAACAGAGCACACATCAGGATCTCGTGACCAAGACACGGCAAACAAGCACATTCCAATCATAAAGATTCAATTATAGAAGCTACTGACGAGATCGGCTTTGCTCGTAGGTTTCGATGTGATTTTGTGTTGCACCGATACGCTACTGGGTGTTGCCACAGCACAAACTGCTACGGACGTCGCCATCGCCAAATCGCTATACCACCCACAGAGCAGAACACCTCCGTCAAACCCCGCGCCCGCAGCAGGACTAAGGACGCAATGCAATGCCGGTAATGTCCGCGGCCTCTCTCCCTTGCGCGCCTTTCCCCAAAGCAAGCTTGAACCAGATGCTCTTTCTCTTTAGAGCTGAACGAGCAGGACTGCTGACGACGGAGCCCTGGCACCCGATCAGGCGTACAAGAAGGGGGCTGATTTTACAAGCTCGTGGAATGCGATAGCCGACGTGGAAAGTATAAGCCGTCCGATTGCTTGCATAGCTCCTCGATCACGAGATGCAACTCTGTAAACTCCGTCCAGCAACTCATTGTGGCCAACTCCCCATCGGAATCCCCGTCGAGTACGATGAAGTCCACGAGGCGCTACTACACACCTCATGGGCTTTAGGTGGTGATTCCACCTACTTGCCTCGCAAAATGCATCTCTTATGTGAATATCGTAGGCCCCCACCCTTCCCATCATTGTTGCCACTAACTTGGCCCCCAGTTGGTGTTCTCACTTGTTCATATTCATATTGGTGTTCTCTCTCTTCCCAGCCACAAGAAATCCTTCTGATAAAATGACCTTACTTCGTTTCATGTAAATAAAGTTCAAGAAGTTACTAAGAATCATTTGAGTATGGAAACATGATATCTATCAAAGCTCATCATCGTTTTTTATGCAGCAGAGTGTCCTCAACGGTTTGTATGTTTAACCATCATTCAAATACCATCAAATGTGTGTTCGTCGTTACATTCCAAAATTTCTATCAACTCAATGCTGCGGATAGACCATTCTACTATTTGATTATATTATTCAATTCTAACCATTGAGTTCCCTTCCTCATCAGTCCTACATTGTGTTGCTAAGAAAAATACACAAGTAAAAAATGAACTTTGTGAATATGATGGTTTAGATTGTCTCTACATACAATTTAACAGGTGGTTTTTCATATGCATGTATACATTACAACATTGAGTATCCATTGCAATGTTCTATTTGTATCTTGTAAGGATCAAAGTTAAAACATGATACATGGATATCCGAATTTATCATTTACCAAACAAAATACACGTATAGTACATGTATATGTATTATGTTATACTTTAGCATTTAAGTCTTTTTAATGTAATCATGTTTATCTAAAGTTACCTTAATACGATCAATATTTTGGATGTAAACTTTATGTTCATATGTAATCTTAAGATTAACAAATGTAATTATATTGCCAACAGATATGATCTTATTGATTTTATGATATATTGTTATTCATTTTTTAATTAACTGGAAACAAAATTCGAGTATTTTTCTGTGTCTCTGTCTCCTATGTTGTCACAATGAAATCAGAATTCATTTGAACAAATGAGTTAAGAATGTGTTTCAGATAGCTTCATTTATACAACTGTTTTACTTTTCACAATCTACATGCTGATTTTTTTACTATTATTTGAATTTCAAATGTATGGTTGATGTGTCATTTATGCATACAGTATAGCGACAGATAATTTTTTATCTTTCTAAGAATAATTCAATCCTTCAATAAACTTTTTAACGACCTCTTATAAATTGGCTTACCTCGTTGTGAATGACTATATGAGTGGCGCGTTATGTTATGATTTTTCCTTCTCATTAATTTAAAAATGTGGTTAAGAAAAACTAAAATATCATATTATTATCTTATCCAGTCAAGATCGAAATAACAAGTAAAATTGTTCATTTTCAAACGTTATGTCGTAACTACTAGTTTACAAATACGAAGCTTGCACATGCCAAATCATATTATGTATAGCAGTCTACGAAGAATGAAATTTCACGAGAAATCATTTTGTATATAATCTGAATCATTCTAACATGTATAATAATGTATATGTACTGTATGAAACATGATTTCTTGACTACAATTTTTCACATACTATTCTTATTGACAAAAACATAGTTTTTTTAACATGTTTGAAACATAATACATAGAATATAATACACATACATACGCAGATTCGAAAGTTAGATAAATTAAATAAATATTAACTACATTTTTATGATATTCATACACCCATGTTGTTTCACACAAGATTATTTTAACATGAAATCATACAAATGCTTACACATCATAGGGTCAGAATATGATTGCACCATAAACATCATATATTTGCAACTAAATCATATGTTCATTTAAGATCATTATAAACCAAATGCTAAAATAAGATATTTGGAAAATGTTTTGTTCATTTATGATTATTTTCATTTATATTGTACGAATAATACAATTTATTATCAATATTATTTGATTTTTAAAAGTGAATTGACATTTTAAAATTATTAAATTTAAAATTAATAAATTCAACAACCTTTCATCAACATTAACATATATTTTAACATCTTAAAATTTATATTTTTAGAATAAATAATGTTAAATTTCATCAATCAAAGCTTTTTGTGTAAAAACAATCCAGTTATTGTGTATAAGCAATTAAAAATTTAAGATTTCAAAAGTAATAAAAAACGTAATATGAAAAATGATATATTTTTTCATTTTTTCTTTTGTGTCGAATTTTAATACCAATCATTAAAACATGAATCTAATTTTCTTTTTTAACAGATACAATTATATTTATTTTTAATATGATAAATCCGATTTCAAAAAAATATTGATAAATATATTAATATTGATAAAATAAATAATAATTTATTCTTTGATATTAATCTTGACTCTATAATCAAATATAAATAATTTGTAAACATATCAAATTATGAATTGTAAACAAGCTATATGCAAATCTTTATAAAGTGCAAATCTATATAATATAGGATATATTGATCATAGATGATTTAAATTTCATAATTTAATTATAAAAAATTCATATTTTTAAAGTACAAATTTTAGCTCAGGGTTTAATTTTCATTGATTATATCATTACAAAATTTGAAATATGTCAAAAGATAATCAATGAAATCATTTGCATGGCTATTTATTATGTATAATATAAATTGTTCAATTATTTTTACAATTGCATACTGGATGAAATTATATTCATGCCTTAACATAATGAAAAAAATGAACAAATGATAATTGAAAAAATGGCAATAATAATAATTTACGCATATTAATATTTATTAATTTTTGTTAAAAAAACTTATTTATTAAAATTAATTGTGTATTTAGGATATATTATAATTTAAATAATATTAAAAAACAAAATGTCAATGTATTACAAACAACTTGAAAATAACATGTAACGTTCTTGATAACTTTGCAACTGCATTTAAAAAATAATGAAATACGATGAAACGTTCAAGTTATGATACATCTACAAAATATTGCAAGGTTTAATTTAAGACAATTAAATAGAAAACTGTAGTTAAATAAAGTCAAATTTGTAAAGACCTTGCAAAGATTTCATGATGTGTTTTTAAGAAATTTTATATTCCAATTTTAACAATTTTTTTTCACACCAATAACTTTGTAATTATTATTATTCGTTGCACAATATTACTAACTTATGAATCCATTTTGATTGTGCAAATAAATAGACAATACTCATTCATGAATATATATAAATACCATAAATACTATATATAATTCTCATATCATGATGCATTGCATTTCAAATCAAAGTATAATGCAATTTAAAAAAATTTTGAGTTATATTGGTATACAAATGTATGTAAAATTTAATCTTCACAACTGTATTCTTACAATTAAATCAAATTTGTATGCTTCTTATCATCAAGTTTCTTACTCAAGTTCAAAATACATTAGAAAAGTTATTTTAGTTTTCATGCGACAAGCGTTGTATTTAAATGTGGCAGTCATGATTTTTGTATATATTATGTAATAATTTGTAGCAAATCACAAATTATTATATCTAAATACATTTTGCAGTAATTGTGCATACATAAAATATTGTTAGTCACATCATTCCTTTGAAAATAACTATATTTCATTCTCATTGAATGCCATTTCATATGATAAGAATAAAGCAAATTACATTTTTGAATATCTTTATCTTTGAGATATTTCAAATTATTGTCAAACATGGAAAGTTAATATTGCAATATTTTGCATAAAATAATAGTTATCATTTTGACTTTGATTTATTTATAATTTATCTAACTTGTCTGTCTTATAAAAAATTTATTTAAAAATACTTTATATGCTTGTTATTTTCGAATCTTGTAGCCTTTTACTTATGAAATTTATCAAAATAATATTTTTCAACACTTGTTTGAAATTTTTTTAAATATAATTTTTTATATTTCTCTAATTGCAAATTCATATAGCTTAATCTTAATTTTTTTTACATAATAACAAAATATTAATTCTTATCAAACTATAATTGATTTTGCAAAACATCAACTAATGTTTATCATGTATGAAATATAAAAATCTGGTAACAAATTTGAACACCAATTAAAATGTTATTTTGATTTGTTTGAGATCTGTATATTTTTGATTTGCAATACTTTGATTATATAATAGTTTAACGAATAATTAAAGGGAATTGCTAGGCACACACCCCCCCAAAGAGGTATGACCGCCCGTGACCTTAATAGCACGCTAAGATTGACAGAAGTAGCCGTCTCACTCGCAGAGGCACCATATCACTAAAGATGGAGCCACCGCCGCTGGATCGCGTCTACGCGTCGTTGGAAGAAGCCGAGACGGAGATCTTTGCTTTGCTCACAGGAAGGGATACAACTTGAGTTGGTGCAAAATCAGCAAACATCAGCAAGACATGGACCCGTAAACAGCTTTTCCCTCTTGTTTAACGAAGCGTTGGCATGTTTCGACGCAAAAATGTTTAGCTTTGGTGTTTTGACGCAGAAATGTGCTTTGTGGACGTGTGGATGTATGCACATGAGGGGGTGTGTGTGCCTAGCAAGGGGGGGTGTGTGCCTAGCAATTCCCTAATTAAAACCTTCATAAATGTCAACGAAATTTACTCGTAATAATGATGCTTATGTTTCTTTTCACTTGAGTTTCACATGCGAAATGATATATGTCCAGCCCTTAAAGAATTCATAATCATGATGATGTTTGTATATTACAACAATAAATCTCAATTCACAAACCTTAATCTAAAAGAAAATTCTTAAAACCTTGAAATACAATATGTGTTTGTTCTACCTTTTATATTTTGTTACTCTCTTTAAGCTCTACATTAACCTTTACAATATATCAAATTTTTTTATCACATTCACATGCAATGTTGGACTAAAAACTTGCATCTTACTTTACTTCACTTTGCAATTTTGATTAACTAATCAACTTCCACTTTCATCATTTTAAATATATAACTATTATGTTTTTCAATTTATATTTGTTTAATTATTGATATTTCTTATCCGCGATAGGGATTAAGCAAATAATGCAATTCATAATATTGATTGTTTTTCAATCATTTGTAATTTACATTTCATCTTGTATCAATAGATAAGAAGTTTTGAAAATTAATGAAATAACTACTGTATTACATAAATTCAACGGTAAAATTTCACATTAAACTCTATATTTAAAAAACTGTCAAGATTTTGAATGAAATATTCAAATGATGAAACAAATTGCTTTGAAAAAGTCAATAAACATGATGCATGATTTTGTTTACATTTAGTATATATTTGAAAACAAACATATTTCATTCATACATTTGTAGTTAATTTCATTGAAAAGAAAAATATGTTTATGAATGAGAATATATTATAGAGGTAATAATGTTAAAATTAACTTGTAATGATTAGGCAGTACTCATAGATACTAAGTAGATTTCATCATTATCAAATATTTTAGACAAATTTGCACACTTATTAGTACTTGAATTCTTATAATGTTTTCAAATTAGAGAAATATTATAGCTTTTAAGTATGTTTGATAAATCAAAAAGTACAATTATAAATTTATTAAATGATCTAATGACAATCGATCTTTTATTTTTTTTAAATTGAATGATTTTGTAACAAAATACTTTTTGTTTGAAAGTGATGATACTTCATCCTAGTCATCAATTAAAATGCAATAAGATGAAAATTTTGCAAATGTAATGTATCCTGCAAAAAACGATATATTGATAAAAAATATTTAATATAAATCCAACAAATTGTAATTTGAATTTTGGAATTTAATATTTTTTATATTAAAATATTTATGCACATAATAATTGTTCATGAAAATAAATGAATAAAAATAAACTTACTTTGTATAAATATTATATATATTGTCGACTTTCAAATTTTTTATTATGATATTTGAATATATAAATTATTATATTTTAATTTTAGTTTCTCAATGGTGTACAATTTTTAAAATATAATATTAAAATTGGAAAATATGTTTCTTGCTATGATAAAACTTTTAAATTTACTTAAATGCGTAAATTTGTGATTGTTTCTTATGTCTTTCAAACATTTACATCATGCAATTAGCTCACATTGATTTTTTATACTATATTTTTATGTGTGCACAATATGACATTGACATGTAAACAAATTAAGCTTTGGGGCCGGGGTCCTGAAGTTTTTATGACCAAAATACCTCGGTACTTAAACCTTTTTCTTTCATCTTTCATTTCTTTCTTTTTACTGCATGGTAGGCGTGGCCTACTCGACTCTTGAGCCTGGCTAGGTTAAATACATATTATTTTAAATAAAATAATACATAGAAATATATACTTAAACTATTTAGTTTGCAACAAAATTCTAATTTCTATCTTTTTTAGTCATATTTTTTTGTTTGCTCTGCGAGAAATAACGGTTGCATGTGTTGTGAACAAATTGTACATACAAGTTCATTTTCAAATAAAAATTTCAAAATTTTTTGTGTGGTTAATATTCATCACAAAATAATTATTTTAAATGATAATTTATATATTATAAAGATTGCGCCTCATGAACTCATAAGGATGATGTTAGAGTCACATGATACATTATATGTCATGTAAACTATGTTAGTATTTAAATCTAATTAATTGCAATTAAACATAAAATGTTATATTTTTATAATTAAAGATTTATTTCAAAATGTTGAATGTAATATTCATGATATTTATTTCAAATTTTATATCTTTTATTAAAAAAGTGATTTTTTGTAGAAGATATTAAAAAAATTTGATTCAAATCATATGATTTTGTGTATCTTGGAAATTTTTTTTAACAATACATGTACATCGATATATTACATTTTAAAAATTTATACTTTTGAAATTTTTCATATGAAATTATTTTTTATCCAAATACACAGAAGTCTACCTTTGTTTGTTGATATGCTACAGATCAAATATTGCTGTTGATTTTTGATATAATTGACTTATTATTTGAGTTCATGTCACAAATTTGTCAATACTGAAATTGGTTTGAACAAATGTTATCATTATAATACATGTTATACTTTTTAAACATATAAAAAACAATATAATATAATTTTTATTTAATAAATTATTGGTAAAAAAAATCCCAAAACTTCATATAAGAATTAATTTCGTTAATTTATTATATTATTTACTTTTTTAGCAAAAAACTAAGATTTTCAAATTTTTGAAACACTCTTTTAAAAATTGATTTTATTCAAAATTAGTATTTTGGTAGATTAAATTTGTATAAGGATTTTTTTGAAAGGATTTTTCATTTTTTGTTTTTTTTTAAGATTAGACAATTTTGTATGTTTATATATTTTGTATATAAACTAAAGTTATTCACATAATTCCAGAAGCAAAATGCATTTTTGTCAGTTTATTTTGAATTATATATTTAATGGTGATTTAATTAAATAATAAATACAGTTTTAAAATTTTTGATTTTTTTTTCATTCATCAAAACTGAAATTTTCCTATATATATATATACGTTTATTTATATATTTATCTTTCAAAGTCCTACATTGGACGTCCATGCCCATGGGTTTAGGATTGGCACAAATAATGCTAAGTGCAATGTTTGTCCAGATACAACCACAATTTAAATAGCATAGTTGATGCTATGGGTGGGTTTGGTTAGTTGCTAATGGTTATGGTATGATCTGGATGCCAATTTGACGTTAAATGTTGGGCTCTGATATCTACATTTAGTTTGTATTGATAACACTTTTTTTAATGTATACTTTCTAAATGAATACAAGTAACAAATATAATCATTTTACTTTTCAACAAATGTTTCGTTCAATTTATTGTTTTTGAATTTTTGAATGTACATTTTTTTAACCTTTTTTAATGATGACATTTCTTTAATTTTTTTAAAATTATCTTATTGAAAATCATCTAGTTTAATATTATTGAAACAATAATGATTCAAATGATGTATACCATATTTACGTATTGTATTCACATGTTGTACTAATTGTGATATGAAAGAATTAAAATCATCTAAAATTTGTGTGTCAATCATTTTAATACTAGTATGTTTAATTTATTTTTAGTCGATAGTATTATCAGTTGCAGAATTTTTTGAATTTTGAACAATATGGATTAATATTAATTTAAAATCCACGTTTAACTCAAATTCTTTTACATGGTTGTGTAAGAGGGCAATTTTTTGCTAACACTTATATATGAATAGGTCCAACGTGTCTATCAACGCTTGATATAACTTTCAAGATATGTAAAGTTGTGACTTATTACTTACTGTATACTTACTTATTGACATATGAACGTGACGGTAGAAATATTTTGAGTCTAACAGCACATATCTTATATAGGGTAGAGTTTCATCTTACACTCTCTGCGTCCCTCTGCGTCCTTATGGGGACTTCCAATTCTTTTTTTCCTATATGAGTTGAGTTTGTACTTCGTTTATGCGTTGTACTGTACATCCTGATCATCAACTTGTACATGCTGATAATGATTCCCTACGTGAGAGTTCAAGCCGGGAGCTCCCGACGGATTGGCAGTTATCAGCCCATGCGAGAGGGTCGTGAAGCCGGTCGCCACATAAAACCTACGCGGTCACTGTATCATTGGGTCGAAGAGTGATCTATTTCCCTTCGTGTCCCGATATAGCTGGTTTCTCACTGGTTATAGGAGGTACCCGGTATACACTGAGGTTTGGCGCCTGACCAGTTTTTGCGTGTTTTGAATTTCGAAGGAGGTCCTTCGCTCTCAACGTTGGGTGGCACGGAAGATGTACATTTCAACTCTCACGACCAAACTCTGGCTTTCGTTCCGGGTGTCAGCTTGGAATCAGAGTTTAAACTAGTGCTGCAACAGGCGCACGACTTACACAGTAGACAGTTGGAGGTCAAGTGCTTATTCCGCATGAGTTCCGAGGAGAGATTTCGATCGTTCAGAGTTCGAAAGTTCTGCCACATTCTTCCTGCTGCAGGTTCGGAGCTTGAGTATTGGCCCCCATGCCCAGCGTCGGGTGTAATCGTGAGCTGCAGGAGAACCGTTGCTGATGGACTTTGACAAAAGCGTTTCGGAGGAAATACGGAGAAAGATGTTTAGATATGGTGCTGGTATTCTATGTAGAAGGTAGCATAGTGGGAGCAAAGGAACAGAAGGAACGCTGTATGGGACGAGATTTGGAACGTATTCGACATCAATTGGACTATGGACTGATGTCCAGGATCTCTGCATTGAGTAATGTTCGTCAGTGAAAGTGCAGTCGATGTCATCGATAGAATACTGGTGCGATGAGCTCGAGAGGTCGGAACTATGAGTTGTACATCAACTCTCGGTTTCAGCAGGTAGATTGCCAGTTTTTCTCCGAGGAACGGCCTGAGAGGTAGAGCTCTTGGAGTCGTTACTCCGTGCAACCCATTAAACAGCTAAACTCGTATTATAAGTGCGCAGATCATCTCAGTGCTTCCGGCGCATTGAGACGAATTTTGTATAGAGCTGGACCTCCCCTGGTTTCAAGATTACTTCACCACGATCATGCTTTACCAGCTTCATTTGAAGACGTCGCAGGGTGGGCTGTACATTGAGTAATGTTTCCGAATTCAGCTGTAAATTTCTCTACGAAGGAATGTTCGAAGCATATATATTGACGAATTCTTGTGCCATCAAGGGGTTAGTAAAATATTTTGCCGAAAGCCGCTGCTTCAAAATCAGTGGAAGAAAAGTATTTGTCAGGAAAAAAGATGGAAAACATCTTGGTCTCAATCCGTGTGAGACCTCTCAACAAACAGGAAGCGTCAAAAGGAACGCCATGGAAGTTAACATCCAACACGATCACCTTAAACAGTGGATCGAATACGTCAGGCCAAACATTCACATTCGGTACAAGCCTCTAACTGTTCTATGCCGATTGAACATTTGCGTTTATGCTGTAATGTGTCGGATGAAATGAAGGATAATGTAGATTACTAGTACTCCTCTAGTCGTTAGTTCTGATTGCAACATAAATTTTGTTATGGTCTCATTCCAGCTTACAAGTTGGCGGAATGATCGATGGAGACATCGAATCTCGGCATTCAGCTTGCCTTCTTGCTAAATGTGGAAAGATAGTCCTCAAGTTTTATTTTATAAATCCAACCCCTTGACGTCTATGCGACTATTTGCATGTTTCTCGTTTTACAGACAGGGTGTTTGGGACCGACTCCAAAACTGCAGATATATACGATGCCCATACGAAAAGAATTATTTCCTCCACTGTTCAAGGTTTCAATGGTCAGTTCACTTCACGCAGTTTTCGATTGGTGACATGGAATTTTTCATTGACGTTCTTAGGCAGAGTGATGTATGATATATTTTCCTCTGCTCAATAAACCAGGTCCTTGCAGAATTTTCACAGGAACTTTCTCGTCGACTATACGAAGACGATCAAGGTGTCCTAAATAGAAATGTGTAGCGATTGTTAGATTATCATGTTCAGTAGTCTGCGTAATTCGTGCGTATGAGACCTATAGGTATTACTTTGACTTAAGGATAGGTTGAGTTTCCACTGTGAAGTTGTAATCATCTCTTGTGTTGACGACTAAGCCGGCCTTTCATCTTCAGGCACTATTTTTGCGTATGGACAAACCAGTAGTGGGAAAACATATACCATGCGAGGCTCTCAAGCTGAACCTGGAATTATTCCGCTGGCGATTCAAGACGTTTTTCGGAACATTGAAGAAGTGGGAAAGATGGTTCTTTTCAGTTTTACGTTGCCATTTTACAGATGCTGCAATTTCTAGTAGCACTTCATTACTTCATTTCATCAATTTAAGTGAATTCCTCGCTGTAAAGGACCATAATACATAAGCCATCTCTTTATTAGCGAATGAATACACGAGCCTTCTTTTTATATATTAAGGCGAACTGAACATGGAATTTCTGTACACAGTTTGCATATTTCCCCCAAAATTGATGCAACTAATCACCGATGATGACGAGAATCTCGTCCTTCCTATGGTCTACAGGAGACCAACAGAGAGTTTCTCCTCAGAGTTTCCTACATGGAGATCTATAACGAGGAAATTAAAGATCTTCTGGCTCCTGAAAACAGCAAACTTCAAGTGCACGAAAGTGTTGAGGTACTCTACGTTGTTTCTCGAGGTTTCCTCTGTAAGGAACACAAAATCATGCACAATAAGTTCCGTTCTTACTGTCAAGATCTTCTCTGTATTTCTGTTTAAATAGCCTTCTACAAAGTCTTTCAGACTCAGGCCTATGTCAGACGGTAGACCACTCAAATTTTTCTCTACACACTATCTACTCAGTGTGCTTACGAATTGATCAACGTTCTTATCTTGAACTGTGATGGCTGACAAATTGCAACGAAGTTTTCACCTTGACGACTGTAGAAACCGTTCTACTGACTGGATACCGTCCTGCAGCGTGGCATCTTCGTTGCTGGACTACGAGAAGAGATAGTCGTCAATCCTGACCAGGTTCTTCAACTCATGGAGGCTGGAGAAGGTAACTATCTCGAAATATGCAGAGATGATCCTCGTGGTGAACTAGTTCTGAACTATATATACTTCAACGAATAATACAAGATATTTGGTTGTATCCAGCGAGCCTAATATTTTTTTGGCGATCACGCAGCACATCGTCACATAGGAGAAACAAATATGAATCTACACAGTAGCAGGTCTCACACGATATTTCGCATGGTAAGGGGTATCATTTTCTCTCGTTCACTTGGTTGTACATTTCGCTTATCATCTGTACCAGCACTTCGAGGCTGACTTTAGCGACGGCTCTATAGCTCGCGTAGCTCACGCTGAAGGCATGTCAGATGGGTCGTAGGACTAAAGTAGCGGGATTGTGTCGAAAGTCTGATTAAATCGCATAGCTTCTGGTTGAAGAAGTTACAAAAGTTATATAAGAGAAAGACATGATTATGTTTGAGAATTTGTAGCTTGTGCGATAAACCTCCATCATCTGTCTATGATGCTTCAGGTTATAGAGAGCAGGGATCGAAGTGAGGATGACCCATCTGACCGGGCGTTGATGCAAATTAGTGACCCTGTACGCGTGTCACATCTGGTACGTCTACATGTGAACTGACTCAATAATCGTCCTGAATAAGAGTAGCCTTCTTGATTTCTTGAGAAATGTACTTTTTGGAGTTTGTATTTCCTGACTTAGACGTGAATACGACTGTGCAATATTAGACACTCTCAGATGCAAACCGTGAAGTGGTCACAAATTATGCCATTGTATTTACCTTCTCTCGAGTGCAGAATCTTGTTGACCTGGCAGGCTCAGAAAGGGTTAACAAAACTGGAGCAGAAGGCGCTAGGCTGAAAGAAGGAACTCACATCAACAAGAGTTTAATGACTCTTGGGAATGTCATAAACAAACTAAGTGAAGGCATTGAGAAACAAGGGTGAGCCACAGACTGTATCTCATCTTCACGGTAACATTTGGACTTAAGTGTTTTGCGGACAATATATCCATCCTCCAAGGTTGCTCGTCTGGTATACTAACAGCACGTTTGTTCTTGTAAGTGCAGGGGCCATGTTCCTTATCGTGACAGCAAGTTAACACGAATTCTGCAGCCAGCATTAGGAGGCAATGCCAAAACGTTGATCGTTTGTAACATTACCCCCGCAATGGTATTTTGGCCTAACCTCCAATATACAGCCCTCTTCTTTAAGCAATCAATGGTTAACAACTTATTGAGTGATAAGTAAGCACCTTGCTTGCGAATCGTTCAAGGTACTTATCACTCAAGCATATTATGTGTATGGCAGCTTCATGTGGATGAAACCAGAGGAACACTTCAATTCGCGAGTAGAGCCAATCGAGTCACGAATTGCGCTCAAGTCAATGAGGTAACTCTCTGGAAGAATTATGGACCACTGATTGTGGTATGATTGTGGTATCAAGAGCTCTTGATTAAATTCCTTGCTACTGGATGGCAGATTATGACAGATGCTGCTTTGTTGAAGCGCCAAAAGAAGGAGATTGAAGAGCTTCGAAAGAAGCTTCAAGTAAGGATCATACTCCAAGCCTTGCGAGACGTGCATTTTTAAATTTTACCTAGTGAAAATTTAGTAATAGCTGCCTTGAAAATCGGAAAAACCGTTTAAAAGTGAAATTGTAATGAACACATTGCTGTAGTGTCTCAGTATTTCGTCTGGTTTGATCAGGAATCCCCATCGGATCACTGGGAAGGAGAGATTTTGAATCTCCGAAATGAACTGCTGAAGGTAAGGGTTTCGCCGTTTTTATAACTTGTTCGTGTTCACTCTAAGTACTTGCTACCTCTTTCAGACCTTGAATGCAGTTCATTTCCTCGCACGAGAGATAGGTGATACCCAATGTAGCTCTGCTGGTGGAGTTCGGCCTTCTGCAACTGATGTGGTACTCTGGAGGGTTGGTTTTTGCAGACAGAATTAGAGAAAGAAAGAATGGCCATGGAACTACTCGAGACTCAGAAAGCTCAAGCTGAAAGAGAACGCCGGATCAAAGAGCAACAACAGAAGATTGAGAATTTAAGTACTATGGTTATCAACTCCGCAGTAGACGATCGTGACCTTGAAAAGCGAGCCAAGAAGGTATTTACCAGTGATCCTTTGTTGTAACCTCTACTCAATCACCTCATGATAGATAACAAACAGTGTCGCTATCCAAGATTTTAGCCAATGGGATGGATTGATTAGGTCCTTCAATCCAATGGCTAGCGTTGAATCTCCAGAGATTGATATCAGAAGTCTGCCTAAAGATTTGGCAAGTGGTTGAAGGATATACAATAAAATGTGAAACTCGATGCTGGTGCATAAAATCGGCTCTTGCAGATTTTTAGTAGCTTGGCTTAAAGTTTACTTATGCATCCTACTGTTGCTGTTTTCTCTCTTCACATACTGTTCTCCTGTTTATGCAGCTGCTTACTGGCACTCTTCACCCTTCACCCTTTTGAAACTCCTGAGATTGATAAGATATGTCCGCCTATAGATTTGGCTAAGTGGTTGAAGGATATACAAAACAGCGTGAAGATTGAAACTGGTGCATAAGTTTGGATCTTTCAGAATATTTAGTATCTTGGCTTAAAGTTTACTTCTGCATCACACTGTTGCTGTTTTCTCTCTTCACATACTGCTATCCTGTTTCTGCAGCTGCTTACTGTCACTCTTCACCCTTTTGAACCTCCTGAGTTGAGAATATATGTCTGCCTATAGATTTGGCGAAGTGGTTGAAGGATGAACAATACAGTGTGAAGACTGAGGCTGGTGACCAAATGTGGCTCTTGCAGAATTTTTAGCACCTTGACTGAAAGTGTACTTATGCACCCGACTGTGGCTGTTTTTTTTCTCGTCACATGTTGTTATCCTGTCTGTACAACTGCTAACTGTCACTCTTTATATGCTCTCACTGTGGATGGCTCATATACATTTCTGACGAATGCAGTGGCTATCCATGTTTTCTCTCCTTGACATGCCTTTGTTTTATACTGAAGCTAGTGACCATCACACCTAAATTTCTTCATCTCTGAGCTCCTACAAGCGCTTACGTGTTTCATGACTGGTTTCCTGTTGCTTGATTTTATGTGCATTATGTGTATTTGAGCCGATACATTTTGGACTGTGGCTTGCATAAAACACTTCTCCTGACTTATTTGCTAAAAATACTCGATGTTAAACGCAAATTTACGACAAGTTTTGAATCTCGTTTCATCTCGTTTCGTTTTTTTCAGGGAAACCGTCGTGAAACTTGGTGCGCTAGACCTCTTTGCCAGCCTGTTGCGGAGGAGGTAGGTTTCTGTAAGTGGTTAATTATCCTTGCCGCAGGGTTTATTCGGTGTTGCTATTTATGACATTCTTGTCACTTATGTTGACACGCAGTTTCCAAAAATCAAGAGGGCTGCTCAGAAAGATCTGTCAGTTGCTTCCTCCGTTGAATTTTCACTACCAGTTAGCAAGAAACGCTCATTTGGTCTACCACCACCATTTGAGAAGTTGATGGAGGATGAAGAGAGCATGTCTAAAGGCGTAAGCTTCTCATTCGATGAAAGTTTAGAGGATGGATTCACTACGAGTGATCACTTTCCTCTCCCAGAACATGCTGCCCAATCATTTGTAGGTGAAAGGAGAAGAAGATCATCCAATGATTGGGTTACTGGAAATGAGGTACAACTCATGACTCGCCTTTATGGATATACAGACCGTAGGCCCCCATAATCAGTATTCCACGGTGGAGAAAAGCAAGTTTCGTTCTCAAGAGCTGATGTATAATAATCTTATAACTTGGTGTGCCGTACTTTTTTAAACGTTCACGAAGTCTTGGTGATGACCCCAGGGTATTCGTAATTCGACTCTTTCTCCGATAGTCATTTCATCTTCTGAGTCAGATTCAACTTTTATTTTGAGTAATATTGATTGCAGGAGTGTACATCGTTTCCCCCCAATTGGAAGGCTTTTCTAATTCTTCTTTATGAGTAATGAATTTCGGCTTGTAGGTTGAGCAACAAATATTTGAACTTCAATCACAATACGACAATCTCCAATGCGAACACGTGATCAAAGTGAGGAAATCTTCATACTAAACACATGCTACTGGCTTTTATTTTCAGAGCTGAGACGTTCTGATTCTCGGATGAGTTCTCTAGATTAGTGACGTTGGGATGTTCTATCACGCATTTCGTTGAGTTGTCGAATCTTCACAACAGCCGCTGAGTGTTTGAGCTTGGTCACTGTTTCTTCTTCTACAGATGAAAGAGAAAGAGTCCGAAATTGAGCAGCTTAAGCGAGAATTATCACAAGCGCACTCGTTTTACATGAAGAAAGATACGAAGCAAAGAAAATCTCTTGAGACTGACAAGAGAGGAAAAAGTCTGGACGGGTGGAAAGAAAATGATTCATTGGCAACCATCAAGCAACTACGAACTCAGGTCCAAGTCTTTTCAATTAATTTGCTGCTCTTATATTCATCAATAGGATCTTCGACTAACATATAAGATATTGGCCTTTCACGTCTGCCATGATAACTGCAGCTCAGTGTTGTTCTAGTTAAAATGAGTTAGTGTTATAAAAATTGATTTTATGGCCCTTTCGCTTGGTTACTAGGTCCGACAATTGGAGACAGAAAAGCTGTACATGCAGCGTGAATTGGACAGTGTGTTGGATCAAGCCAGAGAACAGAGTGCTGCTGTGAAACAGGAGTTACAAGAGGTATTTGTAATATCAGAAGAAAACTGCTAGGTTCATACATGCAGTACATTTTTTGACGTTCGATGATTGTGTCTTCTCGTTCATAGGTGAGCCTATAAGTACAAAGGTCTTTAGTAAGCTCTTTTGTCATTTTGGGGGACGATGTTCGCAAGTATTTCAAGTCCCGGACAAAAAGGATTCCAAATAATGAATTCCTCATCAATTACAGTTTCCGAAAGATGTTGTACTCTGCTGAATTTTCTTCTCAACATATCGTTCTCGCTAAATGCCTTGAACTTAAAATCAGGTTTACCAAGAGTTGAATGAAGCGAAGGAAGAGTCGACAAATCTAAAATCTCATCTAAGTGTACACGTTAAGCAGATTCATCAACTTCAGGTATCACCGGCGCCTAATTAAACTTAGGAGTGTATTATACTGGTAGTTGATGCATTGCCCCGCTCCGTGCGTTTATCTGTTTGCGAGCCTAGTACCAGAATCTCACAATGTACATTACAATCCATCCGGTGCCAGTAGAGGCTTAGTTGAGTTCAATTTATGCTGGGCACATGAACCATAAAAGTAGTACGAATATGTTCTCTAGGTGTATCATAAATCATTTCTTTGTATATATCTGCAGATAGAGAAACGTGATGAAAAACAAGCCTACCTTCAACTGGCAGCGGCATTTAAGGAGCTTAAATCTGAAGTGGACTGCATTTTAGCATCTCCTAACGTTCTACAGTCTTCGATATACGAAAGTCATCAAGCAATAACACGCAGCGTGAAAGCTTTTCAGGTAGTATAAACTTAAACGAATACATTTGGAGCCTTATCTTGACTTGCAAATTTTCCCAAACCAAAAGCATAAGACAAATACATTCACTATCTAAATGTGTTTGTCCTAATGCTTCTGCTCTGCAGATGGTTTGAACATAGAAGTCGCTCGGCTTGATCACTGCTTGATTCCAGTACCAGAAGAACGTGCTCAAAGCTTTCACAATTTTTGACCATTTTCCTCTAACACTCGAAGACTGTGTTGCAGGAATGTGTAGAGGATGCCAGAGACTTAAGTGCAATGGCCACCTTGACCTTTAGTCAAGGAAATAATTCAATCGATTTCGTTTCGAAATCGAGGACAGCGACAGTTTCTCAAACTCAGTTGGAAGACCAAAATGAACTCGGTGTTCAGTCGACAACGATGGTTCACGATGGTAGTTTCGGGGGATGTAAAGACATTACTTGTCACAAAGCAGTAGGATTTACTGAGTGCGAAGGACCACAAATATCAAAGAAACTAATTGGCACTTTCAACGGCTGTGGAGAAGAATACTTATCTGTCCCTCCAGGAAAAGAGGACAAGTCTTGTCTTGATGACTTAGAAGTTGATCGCCTGAGAGAAGAAAACAGAAACTTACGGTCAGTGGTTGAAAGTCTGCAGAGTGAACTCATCATAAGAAGAAATCAGTCGCCGTCATTGATTGAGACCGCTAATGACGAGTATCCGGAGCTCTCTGTAGCTGTGTATGAACATGAAAGTTGGCAGGCGATGACTATCGAGGAAAGTGATCTCCGAGAGCAGACGGAAACAAATTGCTACTTTACCGTGACCGAACTGGGAGTTGCAGGTCCTCATTCGGAGTCGTATGTGGATTCTGTCTGCCTCGTTGAGGAGCTGAAGGACTCTCCTCAGTCGTCCACAGTCAACATACGGAGTCCATCAGCAGAAGGGTTGCGAAAGGAGCCGGTGAAGACAACTGACCTCCATACAACGATCTTTGAGATCGCTGCAGGACAATCACCAGATCTTATTTCCAGCTCTCAAAATATATCAACTGTAGACGATGAGGTAGACAGGTGCATAGAGGCAGATAAACTCGAGCTGCACAACGGTTTCAGTGAGAACGAGGTTCTCGCCTTCTTGAGAAGTCAGTTGGAGTTAGCAGAGAAGGAGAAGCAAAGCTTTTTACTGAGGGAAGCTGCCCTAGAAGAGAAGCTAGAAAATCTTATGGCAACTCTACAAGCGCTGGAGGATGAGCGTAGTTCATGGACAGAATCAAGCAGGAAAGCCAGTGAACTGCTTGAAACAGGAGACGCAGAGTTATTGAGACTTACTAGAAAGCTATTGAGTGCACGACTTTCTCCAGAGCAGGCACAGAATGATATCTCGACTCAAGAAAATTTTGCGTCTTCGAACTCAGATAACAAGCTCTGCATTTTAGAGGCAGAATTGGATCTTGTAATTGACGAAAAGAGATCCATCCATGAAGCTATGAGAAATATCGAAAGCAAGTTGGAAGTGACGATGTTGGAGAACGCAAGATTGCTGCAAAGGGAGGGTATCCTTGTGGTTGAATCGGATCAACTCAAGGAATCGTTGCAGCTGCTAAATGATGAGATAACTGCAAAGAAGGAACCTTCAATCGACGCCAATCATGACTCACAAAGAGAGGAACTGCTTCAAAGAGAAGCATCTCTGTTGGGCGAGATTCGAGACCTCAAAGCGTGTTTGCGTTTACTCGAAAGCGAGGTTGAGATGATGAAAAGCGCATCTCTCGAGTCAGAATGTAAGAAAAAAACTTTCATGGAGAGAGAAGCTTCTCTTATGAATGAGATAAATGAGCTCAAGGCATCTCTTCAATCAATGCAGGACGAGATTGTCTCTCTCACTGAAACATCGAACTCTGTACAGTTCGAGAAGGACAAAGTTGTAGAACACGAGAGTGCTCTTGCTGTGGAAGTCAGTCATCTTAAGGAATGCTTGCAGCTAATAGAGGAGGAGAAAAGCTTACAGAACTCAGCTATTGATGCAGTTTTATGCAAATTAGACTTGGGGCAGGCTGGGCCTCTTGATAATCTAGGGGAAGATGATAAACTTACGCGATTAGTAGCTCAGGTTGACATGCTACTGCAAGAAAAAGTTGGATTAAAGGATTCTCTTGACATTCTTCAAAAGGATATGTACTATGCTTCTACAGAGACAGAAAGGTTGTTACAGAAGGAAGCCACTCTATTAGAGGAGGTTATGAGCCTGAAATCAAATTTACGAACTCTGGAGGAAGAGAGTAACGTAATGATGATTGCACATCAGCAGCAAGAAGCAGAGCTCACCAAACGACTCACCAACTTACAAGAAGAGAAGGTGCGAATTGTTTAATTACTACTAGTCCTACCATGGTGGCTTCTACTTGGCAAGCATCTCTCCAGTGTTGACTAAAAGACCATTTTATCTGACTTCATGTATTAAACTGCGGTCTGTGGCCGCTTTTGCAGGACAAATTAATGAAGAGCTTTCAGGAAGGTGAAAGTCAAATACTTGAGTTCAGGGCAGCTGCAGCAGACGCATTTAAGGACATGGAGGTCCGTCGTGTTTTCTAAAAAGTTTTCTCTGTCGGTTACTTGCAACAAGTCGTGCTTGAGATGCAGCTAGTGGAGCAGGTGGCGGTGACTCCATAAGGTTTAAATTTTAACATGCCCGTTGTGTGCAGACTTGGCAACAGCGTTACCAGTCTGATTCGTCCCAGTTCAGATCAGAGATCATGGCTTTACGGAAGGAGCTTTCTGCTGCAAAGGCAGCACCTGCTGGCCTTGTGAAGGAGAGGGACACGTTGTACCGCGATCTTGAAAAGATCAAAGTGAAGGCGAAGGACACGGAAGCGAAGTTGAAGTCAACCCTTCAAGACAAGAGTAAACTTGAGGTTAACGTCTATCTTTGTCAACGATGGAGCTGTGTCCATAATTGAGTTAAATTCAATCCATGTAGGACCAGAGATGGAGTTGTTATCGACAGTAGAGTTTAGAGTACCTCGGGTAGAAAACTGCTGGTGGGAAGTGTTACAACGCCATTAACCCTGATACTCAAATTTCTGCAGACAGAGAAAGTGAATATGGAGCGGGAGTTGAAGCAGTTGAGACAAAGTAACTCCATGCAACGAGACATCAGTAGACGGGACTCAGTAGTCGATCAAAGACGGCAATCCATAGCACTTGGTCTAAATAAGACCAAGAATCAGCTCTATTGTATTGAAAATGCACTGCAAGTAAAAACCGAAGAGGTCGAAAGGTTAACATACGAGCTACATGCTGCGAAGGTACTGAGAGTTCTCTTCAGTCGACTGAAACTTGACGAAGAATAATCCTTGTGTTTCCTTGAGAGATGCACCACATATCTTAGTTCTTCAAAGGCCGCTTGAAACTCAAAGCGAATTTTGAAGCCCAATGTGTTGAACCTATTTTGATAACATTTGAATGGTCTATCATAGGAATCCTACTCGAAGCTTGAATTCGCCATGGCTGAAGCCGAGAGCTACTTGAAGGAGCAACTGGCTGAAGTTGAGAAGCAGGTTTCTCAGTTGAGTGATGAGAAAGCGGCAGTGATGTCTAATGCAGACAAACTGAACACGGATCTGCAAGTAGCTACGGAGCAGTGCAAGGAGAAGATTTACGAGCTTGGCAGTCTTCAAGATGAGCTCCGAGATCTGGTTTGTTTTTCAGCCGAGTGTATCATACTTTAGGCCACTCGAAGACAAGTCTGATTATAGTTTCAGCTTTGCGTAGTAAAAAAAAGTCAATTGTGACATATGCAGATTATAAAGTTTATTGCTTGGTCCAGTCTTGAACTGTGTCAACTGCAAATGAATTTGGAATTTACGTGATGTAAATCTTCTGTTCTCCAGAGGGATCAGCTTCTGGAAAGTGAAAGTCACATTAAGGCCGCAGAACTTTCTGCAGCAGAGCTTGCTCGTGAGAAGGAGGAGATAGTACAGGTATAATGAAGAGTTTCTTCAGTCCTTGTGTTTGGTATTCCGTGATGATTTTAAATAAGTCTCCTGAATTCACTAAACGGGTCTCTGGTTGGTTCATCAGGAACTTATTGATGCACACATAAATTTCCAGAAGGAAAAAGCTGACCTGACATCCCAAGCGCAAGAAAACAGGGACAAATGCAATGCCCTCAATCTTGAAATCATTCCTCTAACCGAGGAGTTGCTGAAGGTGCGAAACGTACCAGTTTGTGTAATAGCACGGCTTTACGTCCAGATGCAGCAGGACGGACCTCTTCAATTACTTGTAATTCTTTATTCTTTAGGAAGCAAAATGCATACTCTGGTGCATACTGCATCTGATTTAGATGGGAGTCCAAAGCATTTCGATGTAATGATGATCTTTCGCAACATGGGCCTGCAGGTCAAAAAATTACAAGAGGAAACAATGGAATCCAACAGAATTCTCCAGAACAGACTCCAAGAAGCTTTGGAGGCCAACTCTGAGAAGGCTTTAATCCATCACAAGCAGGTAAAGTTTGAGTTTGGTAAATTTCTCTTGCTCCAGTAATATTGTGAATCTTCAGTTTGTTTCGTCTCAAGGAATGTTCAAGATTCTGGCTCAACAAAGTTTGTCCAGTGTTCAGTGAGTAAGTTCGATTTGTCCTAACTTATCATTTTCCTTTCGGAAAATTTTTCGCTATCAGGTTGAGTTACTTGATGCAGATGTTGTTCTCTACAAAGATCGCTGCAGACAGCTTGAAAAGGAAATCGAAGATGCAGTCAAGCGCGAACAAGATTTCCGGTGGGATGCAGTTTGCTTTTACATTGCCCTCATGTTCCAGTGCATTGTATTATCCCAGCCGGAACAAGCACTTGCGTTTTCTGTCGATAATGGATGTAACAAAGAAAACATAGACTTGCGATATCGACAAATTCAAAGTACAATAAAACTTCATTTCTAGGTTATGATAGGATTTATTCCAATGAATGATTATAGTTAAGATCGGAAGTGGAAGAGCATTATGTTACAATTCAAACTCAAAGTAAGCTTCGAGGTCTTTTATTTTCTATGCAGATTGTCTGGCTGTTCTCAGCTTGAGAAACTTCGAGATGAGCTTCAGTCGTGCAAGATGAAGTTATCTGCAGCCGAAGACGCAGAGCAGAGTTTATCCCTGGTAATGCTGGACTGGATTTGACCGTTTAGCATCAAAGTTATTCCTATTTTCGGAAGCAAAGAAGTTATTTTGGTTGTTGACCGCCGACTCTTCTGGTATCGTTTATAAGATGAACTCCTCTGTATCCATATCTTGTTGCAAAAAACTCTGGAAGTTATCTGCTATTTTGCTAACGAGAATTTTTCTTACTATTTTATTGAATGATTCTCCTTCGATATATGCTCGGGTGAACTGAATCTGACATCAGCAGTTAATCTCCGTTCTCACAAACTTGCCATTCTCAAAGAAGTCTGCATGTGCTATTACATTCATCAGCCTGCTTTTCCATTTCTGTTTGCAGGAAAACAGAACCATGCTTACCTCGAACACAAAGCTGCAGGTTGCGCTTGATGCTAGTAGAGACCGCTTGGAGGTATTTGAAGGTCGTTTGGAGGAGTCTGACTGGGAGCTTACAGAGCTCAAAAGTCTTCTCCAAAAAGCGGGTATCATGCGAGGTAATGCCTGGAACTTGGTCAGTTTGCAGCAGTTCGAGAAGCAAATCAAGACTCAAAACGAAGCAAAGAAATTGGAAGCAGAGCTGGCTAGCAAGAAGCTGGAGATGATTGAACTTGAAGTAGAGTATGAAAATATGAGGTAAATATTTTGCTAAACCCTTAACCTGTTCCTTAACTTGTTCCAAGGATGTAATAGCTTTTGATGTGCTTCAGGATCTAAGATGGGTGTCCAAAACTATATGATGAGCTCGGAGGTCTCTAACACAGGAATTTGGCCTGACTAAGCTATAAACTACTTTTTCTGCAATTGGTGAAGATAACGAGCCTGAGGTAAAGGACCGACTGATATACGTGGCTTATGTAACAGGGGTCAGTGCGAAAAGTATCAGGAGGAGATTGAATACTTGCAAAAGAAAGTACTGACCCCAGAGGAAGAGATGGAGCATAAAAATACTGTTGCGGAAATGGCAGAGCAAAATCGCAAGTTGCAAGACCATCTGCGTAAGGCAGAGGACAAAGCACAGGTAAACTTCTTGAATTTGTACTCTTGCATCCATGTTTTAAAGACATTCTGACAAAGGCATTTCACTTTTTCAAATTCTGCGGGATCAATCCACTTCAAGAGCGACACTTCACTTATATCACCGGTTAGCCAGAGTGTGGTTGGTATACCCTGGAATCAAAGGATAAACTAACACTAACTGCTTAAGATACTTATACTAGTCATGACCACAATTCTAGTTTCGTACGTTGGCCCTTTGTCTCAACACAAAGAATAGAATATGCGTTGTACTATATCAGGAGGGGGACGAAGTCACCACATAATCTGGTCGGGTGTACCTCCTTTGACGAAAAGAGACATTTCGGCTCAACCTTGGTTAATTGATGGAGACAGACATTCTTCAAGTTTCCTCACCTAGATTGAAACCCAGAGATGCTGCTTATTTTTGGATATCTTTAGCGCCACCTATCTACAGCTAGTGCCTTATGATTTAGGTTGTTATATTAGGAACATGATTCATCGCTCTAGTGGTCTAGGCAGAAGCTAGGAGGAGGTCCTAAGGATCTTTTTCCTGGTCAGTGAATGAATGACTTGTAATGTGGATTACACCCTTTTGACCCTTTGCGTACCACGCCCTTGATCTATTTACTATTTACCATTGATTTGGCGACACGTGAAGCAACAGATAATTTCGTTGTCTTTGTTCAACCACCGAAATTTAAAAAATAAGAACCTAATATATATATATACATGGCAATGCGCATAGAATAGTAGCTTACGGGCTAGCTAGATATATATCTGGCCCGTAAGCTATCATTATATGATCATACATATACTACTATTATATGTCTCAAGCTGTACGTTTGTTCTTCTAGTTTGACCCTATTTGCCGTCTAAACTGTCACGGGAGGGCTGACTCATATATATATATTATTGTCTATATTTTTCTATATTTCACCCAAAAAAATGAACTAAACTGCAAGTGTTTTTTGGTTTTTTGTTTTCGTAGTTTTGGTACTCAGTTTTAATCTCGTGCTTCTCAACCTGTGGTTTCGCGGCAAGTTGGAGATTGTTGCAAATGCATAAATTTATACAGCGTCAAAGCATGGAGTAGGGATGTATTTGATCTTTGATGCTCACAATTACAAGACTGGTCATATGTGTTACATTTCGGAATACATACCGCATTTCCTCCCGCAGTAAGACTTCATATGCACCAGTTCTTACGTATTTCCATCACTTGCAATCAGTGTCCTGTTTCATTAATTTGCAGAAAAAGTCCCTCTTTCTAAAGGAGAGACTCTGTTCTTATTTCCAATACCTATTCTATGCATGTGGCTGTCTTCTGCTTCTTTGATTTGCATTTGCAAGGATTTCTGCACATAGTCTTAGATGAAGTTTTTGTTCCAGCATCTCCAACTAATTCTCGGTTTGACATATTTTGAAAACAGGTAGTCATCTTACAGTGGTTTGAATTTCCAAAACATTTGGAAGTCAAACATTTTGAATCTACGAAGAAATTTTTTAATCTTAGATTGACAATTATGACATTTATGAAGCTAGAGCCGATTGTAGCACATACTATTTTTAAAAAAACGTTTAGGAGGCTGTATGTTTTTTAGAAAGCTTGCGCCACTGAATATATAAAACTTTCGGAAGAGAATTCACTCCAGAAAAATTGGTGAGGTGATGATCAGGAGCTGGTCTGATGTTTAGTTCTTAGTAGTAAATTAATTTAGGTTTATATTTCATGCGAACTAGTCGGAATTTGTTCTATATATTAGTCGGTTGTGGTTTACTAGACTAAGTCTTTAGATCATGAGAATGGCAAGGGATTTTTCTATACTTTGTAATGTTATGTCACATATAATATTATTTTGCTCAGTAGTGTAGTACATAGGCCTGTATTGGGCATTTATCTAAATTTATCCAAGACCTTTATCCGCAAGAAAATATGTGGTCCAAATCATATGTCTATGTTTCTGTTGGGTAGGTTGACTAAATACGCTGATTTGGAACAATTTCAGGAGTTCACTGATATGGTGAGGATGAAGGAAGCTTCCCTGACGACATTGCAGGTCAGAAATCCTTCCTTCAGGTGAAATTTAAGTTCTTTGTGAAACCTTCGCCTGTGCATAATCGGTTTTCTGTTCTTGTCCTTTGAAACAGACTACTTTGGAAGGTCTTCACGCCCAGAATATGCGGCTGGAGAAAGAGCTTAATGCCTCTAGGGCGGAACTTCAGTCAGCGCAACAGCTAAACAAACTTGCATTGAGAGCAGGTGCTATTGGTAAAGCTACCACTCCGATGTTCAAATCAGCCCGACAAGACAAGCTGCAGGTATTTCCCAGGTGCAAAGGCGTGAGAACACCTGTCCTTGCATGCCACAAGTTGAGCCCTTTTGCTTCCTGGCACCTCGTTATCTTCTTAGTCGTCATGTAAAACTTTTAAGTGGGTCGTTGTGTCCTATCATTGCATGCTATAATTTATAGTAGTTTATTAGTATAGAAAGTGTTCAAACTTCATGTCGCTATTTTGCCATTGTTGATAAATGAATAAAGTCATGTGGCTTCTAAATAGATGTGCGAACGGTTGTTGTGCATTTTATCAACCTCCTGACCTTCTAATAATTTTTTCAGGCCCAGTCTACTGGACAATCTACAACGTCTCTTCCATCGAGCTTAGGTCGTGCTGAGCAATCCCCCAGTTCTGTCACTATGGAAGAGATGAAGGAGACCACTTCAGGCATGACTCAAAGCTCCCCTGTTTTGAGGCGGATTCCTCTTGGCGAGAACGCAGCCGTTACGTCTGTCCTTAGTTCCGAAGGAAAGGGTGCGCGATCATTTCTGACCTCATCAAAGCTCCCGCAGAGTGCGAGACCTGGTCCACGAGGTTTTCACTTTCCAGACTCCCGATACAACCTTCGCCGTAATAAGGAAAATTGGGAGAATATATAATTCCATCGCAAGGCCCTTCATCAACTGGATTCTTCAAAAAGCGTCAAGGAGTCATAAGCACATGTTATACAATCTTAAACATTGGCTAGTTGCATTCTTGCCGGTTCCCAAAATTTGGGACCGCTTAGATCAGGATATTGCGATAGCACTTCAGGAACATCTTGTCTCCCAATTTGTATATCAACTAGGGGAAGAAGAGTACACTCGTAAAGAAAGTACGGGACCGAAATGCATCAGTACGAAACTCCTTGGTTTCGACATGCTCCGGTTCTGGTGTCGACCGAATCTGTAGACTGGTGCTTCTTGATTGTACCATTGTACCATAATTAACCATCATTAGTAACCATTCTCCTCCGAAGAATGTTTATGTATGAAATGTAGAACGTTTACTCTGTCTATCTTCCCAATAGCTTTTATCTTGTCCGTGTTATTATACGGTGTTTTTATACCGTTACAGGTTATTAAGATAATAGCATACCTCGTTGGCATTATTCTCATGATACAGATACCCACCCCTTCCCATGAAGTATAATTTTTGAAAGCTTTTTGAGAACCTCAACATACCACAATTGAACTGTATTAGGCGAAGTTCAAAGTTAGCCTGTGATCGGAGGTGAACTTTGACAGTGTCTTACATACCGAGTGCTTCCGAATGTGTTTTGGCTTTTCGGATTGGGGTGTTGAAACACGCACGACTGTACGATGAGATTAAATGTGTGATAAGTTGAAGTATTTAGTTTCCTTCGCCACATTTGTACTTCGATAGTGGTGTAACGGAGATAAAGCGGAACATATGAACCCGGTGGCGGTAACTCGGGTTCTCACCCTAACCCGGGCGTGCCACTTTTGCCGTAGCTCTTCCAAAAATGGTCTGTTTCGGACGAAAAATGCTTACATCGCTTCCGTTGAATAAAATCTATCCGCTTGTTCAAATTCGGAGCAATTGCTGATGAGCATGTTTTAGTGCGTGGAAGTGTTCTGCACTGTGGTGTTCCGCTGCGGGGTGGGCTACTTAACTACCCTTCTTCATGAATAATATCAAAATGGACGGTTGGTAGACGGACATGATTGGATTCTTCTTCGGTCTACCCACTTTCTTCTGCAAAGGAGCCATCACCTTGTTGGCCACTCGACTGAACTTCTTGTTCGCTTTCTGGACGCTGGTCACACTGCAAGCCTCTTCCTCATGATCGGATTCTTGTAGGTACAGCGGGATGCATGGAAAATACGGCAAGTGTTTCGCCCGAATCAAAAACTACTTCTTTGCCAATGATTGCAGCTTCTTGACGTTCAGTTTGATCGGCGGCGTTTTGAGTAGCTTGAGGGTGTTCATGGAAACTTCTTCAAACGATTTGATGTCAGCACCCCACAACTCGGTGAGTAACGCGCGACGGATCGGATCGATGTTGTTGACGTTGATGAGCGTGATCGTGACCGCTTCGAAATCGGGCGTGTTCACGAGATGGCGTATCGTGCAGAGTCCCTGATCCATCTCAAAGAAATATGAACGCGTATACCCCGACGTCATTTGCTTGAAGTACTTCGAAAGCAGCGGCTTCCAGCCGCAGTAGAATGGGTGGTCCCGATCTTCATGATTGAGGAATTTTTGCAGTGATGGAATTCACCCTGTTCCATCGTTCTATTATGTTCATCGGGTGATACAAGTTCTCCTTTCAGATTGCATTTCGGAAATGGGCAACCATGCGATCGGCCGCATTGTGGGAATGTCCCGGCAACAAGAACACGATTACGACCGTCTCATACACAAGTTCTCCTTTCAGATTGCATTTCGGAAATGGGCAACCATGCGATCGGCCGCATTGTGGGAATGTCCCGGCAACAAGAACACGATTACGACCGTCTCATACACGGCGAAGAAATGCATGATTCCCTGCAACTTGTTCTAGCCAACGCAATTGTCGAGGATCATGAACAAGATCTTTGGCGAACACGACTTCTTAGCAATCTCCTGATGGTGACGTAGCCGCAGACTGCACATGGCATTGACGTCTTTGCCCTACCCTCGCTCGTCATACAACAGTACATGGTTGATACCATTCGAGAGATCAGCGTTGACAAAGTTTTGAATCATGAGGTTGGATTGGAAGTAGTACACCGACGGATGCTCTAAATCTTAGACAGTGAGCAAAACTTACTTCATTGTTCTCAATCTCAATCTGAATTTTTACATCGACGTTGATCACGTTGAAAGTGATGTTGTTGTCTGGACTGCCACAAATATCATAGAACTCCTCGTCTTGAGGTATGTGTCCGCAATGATGATACAAGGTAGCAACTGTTCCGATGCGTGCTTCCTTGCAAACTTTCTGGTGAATTTTGAAATGAATCGACGTTGTGCAATGGCGGCATCCAGATGCATCTCTTTCTTCAGGAGCAGTTCAGCATGTTGTAAAAAGAGAGATTGATTTGTTGAAGCTTAATATAAAGACAGATACACGCATTGCACAAGTTTTGCACGATGCGGCTGAGGCAAAGCCCGAGATATAGAGAGCGTCTATACTGCTTACACCGAGACAGCGACAACACACGGAAGCCGTCCGTGCTTTCAATCTGGGCCTTATCCGCATGGATTGACAACCACTTTACGCCTTCCTTGATAAAATACTATAGTGGTCGCCGGTTCGAGCACGAGAAGACTTCCTCCAACTCAAACGTTTGCGCGTGATCCTTGATGCCCTTGAACTCAACAGAATGACTGCGTGCTTGGGAGTGGGGCGATTGCATTTTGTCGCATGTTGGTCGGAGACCGTGCCATCCTAGAAGGCTTTCTGGAGACGACTTACCCGATAGCTTCCTAATCCCAACATCGTGCGGATTTCTATCTGGGAAACGCCAAGTTTGATCATCGCAATGATGATCTGATGCCCTTCCACGTGCTCCCAGACATCAAAAGATTTTCAAGTCGCGAGCAACTTAGTGATCTCCTCGCCCGCAAGCTTAATTTCAACGCGACTCCTCGCATTAATCGCACGATCGCACCTTTGACGCTTCTTCCGATGCATGATGGTTTGTAATGATCCACCAACGCCACTAGAGCGGCGCGGTAACGTCGTCAATGATGCAATAGTGCTCATCTTGTACGCAATCGACCGAGCAAGCGCCGAATTGGAACGCGCGGGGTTGGAGCAGGCGAGACAGAACGGGAGCGCCGCTGGAAGAAGAGGGTCTATACGGGAAAGGTGGCGAATTCTGTGGGTGAGGGGTGGTGGAGAAGCGACGCTGAATCTCCTCTAACAGGCTATCGAGCGAGTTTGACGCAATGAAAGAGTTGGGGAACGTTTCCATGAACACAAAGATCTTGTCCAACGCATGGTTCAGCACGCGGTCCGACTTCAAAGCTCAACAATCGCATCCATTCTTTGATTGTACATCGAGAATGCATGCAATTTTTGAGCTCGTGCTCGCAATTCTTCTACGATCGCTTGGACAAGGCAATAACAAACGGATGCTGGGTAAGCCGCGCAGTACTTTCAACAAAAAAGTGCCTTCATTGAGAATAAATTAATTAATTCACTTAGGCGCTTAAAAAAATTCCACAACCCGGGTTACCGCCACCGGGTTTATATAGAGATCATGTGAAGCATACTTAGTATCTGTGGTAAACTCTCAGCTTCGAGTAGTTATATGTTATGGGTTTATGCAATGCTTGACATACTTGATCGAATAATATTGCTTTCTTTTGAACACACATAGGGTTAATTTTGTAAGTAAAGTTTTATTTTGTAGTTTAGAATAAGTTAGCTAACAATTTGGATTTTAATGTAATGCTATTATGTTGCATCAGACAAAAAATTTATGTTGTGCAACTCACTTGTTTACCAAGTACATACATTTTAAAAATAGACTTTACATCTATGGATTTCAGGTACAAACAATTTAGACGTTTAATTAATTGTGAAGATAATATTACGGAATTGAATTTGAACATTAAAAAAATTTATTTTTGAATATGCTTTCATCTAATACTTTGAAGTACTATATCGAAGCATAAAAAATGAATGATAATCTTTAAAGAATATTTTGAAAGAATGAATCTATATCTATTGATACTGTAGGTTATCGGATTAAATTCCGAGTTTATCATATTTGGAAATTTCTAAAGTTATCTTAGATATATCAAGTTTTATTAAATTTGAACTACTGTAGTGAATTAAAAAAGCTTGACTTCTGAAAAATCGAAATAAATTTTCCATAAACCATCCAATAAATAATTAGAATAAATTGTATACAATGATAATATATGTGTCATACAAATGTTAATTAAGATTTTATCATAATTTTTCAAAGAAATAATTCTTTAAAGATTACAAAGATGAGGATATATCATGACTCTAGTTGTATGTATGGTTTTATATACCTGAATAATTAATAATAGAAATAATAATACTATTAAAATGTGGACTAAATATTCAAATTTGAATGCTTTGTTCATAAAATTGATTCAGGAATATTTTCATTATCTATCACAATCTCAGGGAATATTGTGCAGTTCAGATGAAGTACATAAAATGCTAACAAATGAAAATAAGATTGAAAAATGCATCTTATTAAGCTCAATTCGATGTGTTAGCAAAATTAATCCTTCATGCCTACAATACTTGTTATAAAGAGTGGTAGGCTCACCACTGGTAGCTCACAACATTGTATGTCTGACCACACGCACAAACAAATGCCTTGGTATGTGAGTTTTTCCAGTGAATTTTGAAAGGTAAAAAAGTAGAGTTGTTAGATCACATCAAATTCTTAAAGAAGTTGGAGATAAGAGTATGGTTGAGAATGAAATAATTGATCTTTACGTTTACGTATTTTACTACTCTGATTCTCCTAATTTGGAAGGTTTTATCATTGATGGTCAAAGATGATGTTTGTTATTCTATTGGCCACGACTAAGTTTAAGAAAGTGCACTAACGCTTGAGTTTTTAGACGAAGAACGGATTCTGAGACTGATTTGGGTGTGATGTGCAACAATAATCACAGTGTTAATCGAAAGTAAAAGTGATTTTTTTTTTGGGTTGTTCTTTTGACAACAACCGCAAGTCAAGATTTAACATTTGATGAACATGATGATATACATGATTTACATGACAATAAATAAATGTGTCACGGAGACTCGATCGTTGTTTTTTTTACTACTACTTGACAGTCTATTGGTGGAAGATTTGTTTTGACAATCTACTCAAAATTCTATTAGTCAAAATTACGATTGGTCTCTACACTGAACTCTATAGTTTTTTTTCTTTCATAATTCTTCAAAGATTTACATTTGGACACCATACTCGCATAGATATCCATCAATTTTTTTTTATCTTTATAAACCTGATCAACCTTACACATTGCACTCTTCCACTGTTAATTTCATAGTTTCATCCACATTTACTAGTAGATGACTGTTTAGATTATCAGAGATATATTTTCTCATTTTAGGATTTCAAAAACCAAATCCTAAACCTTATATCTAAAGATTTAAATCCTTATATCTTAAGGTATTCTTCAAGTAGTTAAATGATTTAGATTTTAGTTCAGGAATTTTTTAATTAAAAGTTATGTGAGTTTACTGAAGTTGTGTAAATGATGTTTTATAAGATTTAAACTTTTTTTGCATTTTTTTAGAAATGTTGATTTTATACGAGAAAAAATATCCTGTTTAAATAGAATACACAAGAAATTATATTTAGGATTGGACAGAATGAAATGGGTGCTATACGGATTGAAATAGACAATTTAAAATTTTCAAAAACGATAAATATTATGATTTTCTTCTTTCAAAAGTCAAATTAAATGAAAAATTGAAATTAAAAATTTAGATAAACAGAAAGTATCAATTTATTTAATTTTGAAAATAAATAATAGAAATATAATAAATGTAAGTTATGAGTAGCATTTTATTAAAATTCCAAAAATTAATTTTAAATAAATACAAGAATCATCCACAAATAACTGGATGAGACTATTGTTTGAGTTTCTTGAACAATATTTTCGTAGCAGAACGTTGTTAGATATGCTATAAATCTCTTTGAAATTAATGAGATTTAAGATGAAATTTTTTATCATGAAAGTTCAAGATAACATTGATGCATTCAGTGATAGAATGGTGACATCATAATTTCAGAGTTTTGATAACTTAAAAAAAATCATAAATCTTTACCACTCATTACTTAGATTGTCTTAATCTCTATTACATATAAAAGTATTTTCTGGATAAGCAAACATACAAAAAATTTTAAGTTATGAATGAAATTGTAAAGGATTTGCTGTTTGATTTTTAAATGAATGTAATGATTTTTTTTCCTTCATCTTTTTTTTAGACAATACGACATTAGATGTTATTCTTAGATGATTATGTTCACGTAATATAAAATAAATTTGGAAAGTAATTTGACTCCAGTATTAATGTCAAATTTAGAGACAAATGTTTAAACAAGAATGCAGTGATTTGATGTCAAAATGCATTCATCAAAATTGTTTCTTTAGTGAATGTTACATTCTTACATTGTGTTATTTTGTATAAAAATCACAAGTGAAGTTTTCTAACCATCTTCTTATCTCAATGCATTCTTGAATTCGACTTAGTTCACAAGGAGATTTTGTTTCTAATTAACTTCTAATTTTTTTTGCAAAATAATTATATAGATTATAGAGATTTAAATCTTTAATATATGAGTAGTAAAACAATGTTAAGAGTTAATACAGGTTAGGTCAACCATGTGTAGGTAAGTGACTTTATCTGTGGTTATAATGAAAACATGCGTAAGTTACAAGATTAGCATATTAGGAGTTTTTTTATTAAAATTTGTTATATTCTTGTGGCTGTATGTGCGAACATATAATGTTTATGTGTATGTAATCTACAATGAGGAATGAGATATTTATCAGATTCAGTTGTATGTTTGATATTTGTTTTAGTGGTGAGTTATTAATATTATTTAAATAAATATATTCAAAAATATAGACTTTGTATAGTAATTTTTGAATTTAAGATTAAGAGAATGTATTTTAATGGTAATATTAAATGTGAAGAGATAATATCTTCAAGAGAATAAAAAATTAATGTATTAACAAATCATTTTATATCATTATGTTTGTATAGTTATTCAAAGATTTTTTTAAAATAAATAATCCAATGCAATATAATGATTATCATTGTATGTATATATATATATATTACAACTAAAATACATATAGTACATGGCTTCGGAGACGCACCACAGACTCTTTTATGCGCTTAAGAAAAACAAACTTCTTGTCATTGAACAACACTGTCTGATTGCTCAAATTCGATAGCTACAAGAATGAAAGACATTTTTTATTTCCTGGCGCTTTAACATGTCATTGTTATTTATATTGCTCAGCTACCTCCAGTGAATCGCATTTAACATCTCTAAGGATTTGGTTTTGCTACGTAAACATTGGGGCAGTCACGACTGAGTTTTCCTCTGTATACGGTAGAGTACAGTAGCAGAATGGGTTTTCTCGTATTAAGAGTTAGTTGCAATCTAACCTTGTAGCAGTACATCACATGACCAAATTACACAGAACACATGTTCAGCGTACTACAAAACTTGTAGCTTTGACTCATCTTGCAAATCTCACACTAGGTCCGCAGTGTTTACGAAATCACGAGAAGTTGACGCAAGAGCAGGCTTGTCATCTCCATATCTCCAGAATCTCTGCAGCATCGATCCGAATTTTATTTGCGAGGCTAAGAACAAAATGATCAGCCTTTCTGGTTAGTCAACACATTCTCTTGTCGGTGGATCGACGTTCTTCATTTGAGACTCTTCATGCCCAGGACCTCTAGAATTTTGAACTCTAGATTGTTTTCACACTGTCCGCGATATTCAAGAACCCTTGCTTTTCAATTTTGCCGCAATGTGGATGGTCCGCACTGTAAGTACATGTACCGTGCTTTTTACAGTGAGGTGATCGAGCAGCTGTATTTGTCGACTTAGAGATTTGATACTGGTTGCCTGACTGCGACGAGATTTTCCGAGCGGCTGGTTATCTGCTATCAGTGGGGTTGGTATGGTAAGTGCTTTGTAGTTTGAAGTATAACTCTCCGCCAATTTAATGGACTTCTTTCAATTTGTTAACTTGTTGGGCAAGTCCTCATTTCCACATGAATTGTCGGCTCATTCTCTGCCAACCGCGTCTCTGGTGTTTTCTTCCATCAATTCCTACTCTATAGGCATCTAATCCATGCGATCGGCTCATCACATCAGCAGTTTTAGATTGATTCTTTTTCTCCTTAAGTGGCTCAGATGCTACCAAATTGTGCTGTAATTAGATCAAATTCCTGGACAACGTTGCACAAATTCTCTCACTTTTAAGTGGAGAAGTTTGGAAGTAGTTCTCTCAATTAAGGGCCTGCATAACTGCATATCTGCATATGAGAGTTGGTTTAAATCGTGATTTGTAAAACGCGTATGAAACGGTTCCAGGTTGTCGAGAATCAATTTCAAATCATTACCCTTCGAATAAATTAATGGAGGCGTTTTGATTATGTTTGCAGTTTTCAAGTAGTACTTCCTATTTTGTAGTTCAAACATGAGCTAAAGTTCCATTTTGTGAAAGCTAAAGTAGTGAGCTCTCACGTTTAAAACTTCGAGATCCACTTCCTGATTGCAATGTTGTTGTGAGATTGGAGAAATTGAGCAAACATCCAGATTTATCAAAGATCGTGTATGCACATCATTTTGAAGTAAATTCTGCTGCCTTCTTCAGCTGCTATGTACACTCGTCCACGAGACTTCCGAAGTAGCTTGTATGTCCAACAATTCCATATGAGCTAGCTAAATGTTATGAGGCTAACCACATGCTCTGCTATTTGCTACCAGCAGGCAATATGTTAAGGCCTAGTTTGATGCGTATATTTTGCAGGCCAACACGTTAAGGCCGTACTTGACATGTATTCGAAATACTCTCACGGCAGCCATGTGTTTACAGGTGTGTTTCTTGAACAAGTTACTTTGCACCTGTGTTCTTCGACAGAAGCGCACTTGTACATATTATCTTGGATGGATGTCGTAAGGTTTTGTTTAGCGTAGTCAGATCCAAGGTACTTGATTCATAGAAGAACCGTAGACATACAGACAGTGGTTTAAAGTCAATCACTTTCTTTGACCCTTCCAACGAGCAATAGTGATCAGTGTGTTAATAACTGCATTTGAGATTTAGACCGGAGTTTTTTCGGTAGTAAGGTTTAGATGCATAACAGTATGATTACGTCTGTAGTTGTTCGCTAATCTCCTCTCGTAACAACATACTCAGACGTTTATTTTTCTCCGTCTTCATTGATTGTGAAGACCGTACATTTGTGTTTGTGAGATGAAAATATATATCACTCATAACGTTCTCGGTTTTGGATCTCTGTCTGGTACTATGAGACAACGCGTTTTTTAAGTACCTCAATGAATCCAAATACTGCTTGCTGGCTTTGATTCATTGGACCTAACGCACCCCTGTTATTCTGCGCTGTAGAATTTCCCATGCCAGGAGGTCGAAAGACACAACAAACCCGAAGTTGAGTTCAAGTGAGTAGCTTTCACCCATTTGTAAGTGTGTTTGTGTATTACGCCCTTGTTGCTATTGTTGTTGCCTTTGATACGCCAATGTGGGGATATTGTATATGCTAAATACCCCTGCCATGACAAAGCATTTTCAAGGCACCTTTGGGAGAACTTGATCGTTGATCAGAAGCACTTTTGCTAAACATCGTGGGACAAATACATACTTTTTCGTAAATAAAGGTCTCTACAAGTCCATGTAAAGTCTTCTTTACAAAATGGTATTTACTGTACACTATCGTGTCTTTGATCAATACCTCGTGGATGTAAAATCTGACAATAAATTCTTTGTTAGCACACTCACCGTCAAAATAAGAAATATGAGTTCCTGTCTGGTCATTTGAGTTGAAATAAATAACTTTCCGCAATACAAATGCGAAGCGTAATTGACGGCTTACCTTCACAGCGCCTTAATGGGCCACATGAGCAATCAAAGAATATCTGCCTTTTACTCCGCAAAATAGGTAGTTGGGATACCCTGATGTGGTAAACATCAGGTCCACAATATAATTTTTATACATCAACAAGATATAGTTGACGGGCTCAGGAGCTCAAACGCAGCCGGAAAAGGCAAGCAGAGCTTTCCATAATCCGCTTAAGAAGTGTGAAGCTCACTCACGTCAAAAATTGATAACTCATTGACGAATCAAGCGAATTCTAAAGAAGGATTCTGACCTACTGAAGATGGGATCTGACCACTATTTTGAATCAAACTTGACGTTTCCACGCGGGGAAAGGTCTTTTTATAAGAGGAATTGCTTCAGTGAAGAATATGTGGGTTACTTTACTCGGTTAAAAATAAACCCTGTTTTGAAAGCACTTCACCGTGCAACCGTAAGATAGCTCGTAGAATTTTCTCGTAGCGAATGAATTCCTGGCAACTGGAACTTAGGTAGTTGTATAAAGAGGTGTGTAATACATTCAGTCCACCGGGTGGCATCAAGTTACGTAATAATGCCGATTATATGTCACTTGTTTTCCTGTTATTTCTTTGTATGTTTTGAAAGTGTAGTTTTCAAACAGGACCGGGAAAGACAAGTATGTTGTATTAAAACTGGGGTTTCATCGTTTGCAGGACGAGTCCCGAGTTGCTGCTCAACCCTGTAAGTCTTGTTTTATTGGAGATTCGCCCTTTGTCTAGTTATTTTATGCTTGCGGTTTCCAGAAACTATATCGCATTCGTGGGCTGCACCATGTTTTATTCCTGTCTCTAACATCTGCATTTCCTTCCATGGATTTTAACTGCCAGCTTTAGTTTTCCGCAACTCGCACACAGTTTCTGCCTTGATACTCTGCAAAATTTTGTCATCTGGATTTTGTTGATTCTTTCAGCACGATGCTGCGCGATGCTTCTGTTCTGTTCCTTACTGCTTGTCAAGTCCAATGTTTGGATTCATGCAATAGCTAGGGCCGCTGTGGTTGCACCTTCCAGGTCTGTACTTTTTGGTAACCTTGCGTGTTAAGCTCTTGTGTCTGATAACGTCTAAACGTCTCAACATGAGGACTCAAGCGTTCTTAACACTGAGTAGCAATATACAGGCCTTGCAGTTGTAGTAGGGCCTTAGAGCTTTACGCCTTGTCCTTTTCAGAGTAATTGTCTCTGGACTAGTTCTGTCCCTCTACTGTGTATGAAATTTCGATTTGCAGTATATTTGACTACACTCCTTGGGCTGGTTCTTTCGTTCGAGACTCTGAAGGTGTCAGTGACATACAGGTTCTGATATGCAGGAATGAGGCAGAGAAGTGCTTGATCGAAACGTCAATCAATTCTCTTCGAATCAGTATCAAGGTTCGTATATATATGCCTACACCGTGGTTAATGGCGTATAGATTTGTCGTTGATCTGGAATATTCCACCTGATCAGTCCCGCTGGACATTGTAGCTTCTTTTGCAATCTTCTTATTTGCTAGGCAGGCAGGCTAAGAACTATGTTCTACTGGTAAGACAGTGAGTGGCTTCACTAATTTCGGTAACGCACGTCGTATGTACCTTTTACAGTACACAAAAGCTTGCTTTTGTATCCCTCTACGTCAGAGAGTGCTCAAACATGAGACTTTACCTGCTCAGAACTGTTGTGTCAAGAGCGAGTTTTCTTCATCTCATACCCGATTAAACTGCAACCTCAAGGAGTGCTTCCAGTATACTTCAAGAGCCATTAGGTGGAACTGAACTTGCTCAGTCATGCTGTTCGCATGGCTGACCTTTGTTGGCTGACCTTCCATGCTGGCCTTTGTCACCTACTGTCTTTATATCCTTATCAGCACACTCTTAGAAACATTAGAAGATACAGGTGCAATTTTATCCTGGGGAGACCCCATCACACCAGCGTTGATCTTCTGTGGATTAGAAGAAGGGGAGAAGCTCCAGAAAAAGATTTCCTAAGTGTAAGCTTGGTTCGATGAGTGGGGCTGGGATACATACATGGAGAATTGATTTAAGTCACATGTTGTATGAGCTGATGAGGATATTGAAGTTATCTTTGGCGTCGCATGTTATATAACCAACAACCGTTACAAGCGGATGAGCTAGTGAAGGGTTCTATGGTTCAGACTTGAAGGTTCAATGGTCTCATTTACATTAAAATCTCTGTAGTGGTGAAGAAGACGGGGAGAAGCTTGAGGGGATGATAGCTCACATAGAAGTCTGGTGTGATACCTGGGGCATGGAGGGCCAATAGGTATTTGTAGGGAAACCTGCTTGTTGCTCCCAATGAATTGGTCTAAGACTCAGTTGTCAAACTGAGGAGCAGAACCTCACTGCTCTCAAGTTGATCAAGTGATAGCCTCGTGTGCCTTCTTACACGTACCTCGAAATCATAATCGTCTTTTGGTATTACCACGAACGGAAAGTCACTGGAGGCAGAAACAGATCATTTATCTGATCCTGATCCTCCTCCTCGGTGATGTCAACTCTGAAGCTAAGCATATAGTCGCTTTCTTTTACAGCACGATCTACACCAGATTATGAAGCCTCAGCCTGCTTCCCAAGATTACGCAACGATGTAGATTCGGCAGCTAGAAGCCTTTGCAGCAACCCTCAGCAACTTCTCGAACAGCTGAGGTAGGAGTTAAACCCAAATTCGCAATGGCACCATTGAAGTACGACGACGAGACATTGCTATAGTCAAATGGAGAAAGGACATTTACAACATATAACTCAATAGTACCCCTAGTGTCACCGGATGAACTCGTCAAAGGCTAGAAAGATCTCTAAGATTTTTGAGTCAATTACAGGACATTTTGAATCAATAGACACAACTTTCTTTGAAAGCCTGATCCTTGCTTTTATCTGAAAACTGAGGCGTAGATTAACACTTCACAAAAGTATCACTGTCCTCCATTTGCTAAAATGCAGCTCAGCATATTAGGATAAAGTGCTCACCAATTTTCACGGGGTCAGACGTCTGCATGATGTCCAGGAAAGTTGAAAGTTATACAATCTAAAGTACCTGTATACTCAATCTTCACGGATTTTATCCTCTTGTATATGAAGACCTTGCTCTCGATGATGTAATATGCAATGTATTGGTGGGAGTTGTGTAATTTTTAATTTTTGCTTTGGATTTTCAGGTGAAGCAGGCCGACGAACTTGAAAACATATTGGCAAAAAAATTTCTACGGTTTCTGTCTATGAGAGCTGAATCGTTCGAAGTTCTTAGACGAAAGCCTGTTCAGGTGCAACTTATCGTGGATGCTTGTGCATATACACCTAGCTGTATATTTGTGCATCCTCAAGTGATCATAACCATAGTCTCGTGTTCTAGTCATTATCTGTTTTATGCATTTTTCGCGAAGATGGTTGAGATAATGTACCGACCTACTGGACTTCTGCAGATTCGTGTTCTTCAAATCCTCTCTACTCTTTTCTTTTGGTACTCTATGAAGCTGTGAAGAAATAATTCTTGTCTTCCTCTTTCTCAAATCTCACTTTCACATTCTCTCCTTTCAGGACGAGCTGTGCTATATTAATCGTACGAGTACTGTACGCTGCAAGCAAATTAGACGAACGAGTTAGAAAATAATGTCTTCAGTATTATAATCTAGAACTCAAAATCCATATATTCTGGTCTACCTTCCATTTTAGCTCATCTCTACCTTTTGCTATCACAGTACCTAATCTTCCTAGTTTACCGCTGGAACCCACTTCCCCTCGGTGTATAGGAGGATGCTGAACTCTACCCATTTTGGTAGCTTTGCTTAATACCACCGTCAAAGTTACGTACTGCGGGTCCGTACTTAGCTTCTGTTGAAATCTTCTTCCGTCGAATAAGAATCAACCTGGCGTCTTCACTCATGCAGTTTCTCTATCTTTGCTCCCGTCTGAGTGGGTTTATGTCCCTCTCCCAGATTGGGATCCTATACACACTTGGATAGATCGTCTCCATTCTTTGGCCTTTTATGTTCTCCCACTAACGTTTATACAGACTTCCATATCATATCTTCTGTAGAAAAACCAACCAAACGGTTGGTTTTTCCGTGCTAGCCAACAACCCACACCCATTTGTAGGAATGTGAACTGTTTCTAGTTCCGCACACTTTACTGGACTTTTTGTTTGTCCTCTATTTGCCTTTTAGCACTGCGACTTCTTCTGGCAATATCTGAGGTATGCATCTGCTTACCTTCAAGGGAGCGTTCAGCTCGAAATTTGCTTTGAACGAGCTTCATCTTTACTTTTCCCCCATATTCCTTTGTCCAGAGTAATATTATAGTCGCTCTCCAGCGAGATTCCGTATTTTTCTGTTTATAACATTTCGAACACTATTAATTTATTTCACACTCATCGTCGGATGCCTGTTTATTATTTAGCATGTTGACCTATCAAAAAAGAATGTTTCATAAATGAGAGACTTCTTCTATGTACAGTACTCCAGGGAAAGGAACCATCTGCTTGCAAAACATATACCTACAGTTTTTTTTAGAACCCAACAGAAGACTTTGATTGGAAGTAAAACGTTTTTTTGTTCTGAACCGTCACCTGAACATCCTCCGTGCTTGTGCAGGGCTACGATATCAGCTTTTTGATCACAAATTTTCACTGCGAGGAGATGTACAAACACAAGCTGATTGATTTTGTTGTCGCATTCATGGAGGTTTGTTCCTAGTTTACCTTAAAATTTTGTCATGTGCTTTTTCTCTGACTGTATGCACCTGGGCGCACTTCTAGTCCAGATTTGGGTCGACTCTATTTTAGTCATCTTGTCAGTAACTTTGAAAATGTGTGCAGGATATCGACAAAGAGATAAGTGAACTGAAGCTGTCTGTGAACACTCGGGGACGCCTGGTGGCTACCGAGTATCTACGTCAGTTTCTGTAGGCCAGAACAAACACCTTCGAACTGTGAAATTCAACTTGTTTCATGTAATCTTTAGTTATAATTTCTAGGAAGAGATAAATGTAAGGATTCGAATGTGGAGTCCAGGTCAACCAAAGCCTTAAGTAATGCAGCGGAGGTAATAAAACATGCTGAGTATCGGAGTCAATGTGTGGAGGCATATTCTTGCCTTGAAATGTCTAAGCGATCCGTGGTAGCTGAATGAAATTGATGGGAAGCGAGTCTCGAGCATTTTGCCGGTCAAATGTGTGATGTGACCAGTGGTGACGGTTCTTGTCTTGATTCAAGTGCTTTGTTGTCGTAATCGAGGTATATTCTTTGACATACCTCGTCCTCTTTGGATATATTCTATGAAAAGAAAATTCCATGGCAAGCCGAAATGGTTCAAAACAATGCGATGACAACTTATAGGCAGTTCTGCCCATCAAGAAGCATGTAATTCCTGCGTGATTTGCTGACTCTTGCAGTGTCGAGCCACTTACACAGCTTTGTCGCCCTACAAAGCTTCCCTTGGCAAGGTCCACACGTCAGCGATATTATCGACTCATATGACCTACATATGTAATATAGATGCCAGCTTTTGGACCCGCTGTGAGACTCGTGCAAGATTCACACGACCCTGCTTTCGAGTTTTATTCCAGGTCCCGTGATGTTGCAGTCATTCTTGCTCGGTCGCAGTGACCTAATGACCTAATGGCAGTAGGGCCGTCAACACAAATTTTATCAAATCCTTTCCGGGAATAAAGTAAAAACGAGGATGAGTTCATAAGCTTCAGAATCCTGACGAGCATGATCTCTTACTAGAAGGTTTCCCCGCCCTTTTTAACTAATCGGCAGCGTGCGAGCGGCTTTTGCGTTGTTTGGAAAGTGTGGACCGGGACTAGCAAAACGTCCGACATGAGTTTCGAAGTGGTCCACCAAAGACCCAGTCAACGAACAGAGAGGGATTACAGTGTGGCCCGAACAGAGACTAGTGCGTGGGAGTGCTGTACCGTGAAACGACGAAGAGTAACATTGAAGGAGAGATGACGCAGTTGCGCGTGGAAATGGACGTTTCTACGTAAGCGTATAGGCAACGTCGAGTCTCGACTGTTGTGAGTAGTATTTAAATCAGTCCTCCGACATATTGTGATAACGAATCCGCTCTTCACTAACAGTTTCCTGCGTCGGTCGCGAGAGGATATGTTCTCTTACTGAGAACTTGTGGTGCTACCACTTTTACTGTTGACCGAATGTGTTGGTGGCAGCATTGTCCTTCGAGCTCGATAGCGAGGACCCTGCTACTGTCCTGTCGGGGGGACAGAGCACAATCTCCATCCAGCTTGTCAGTGTGCACCAAAGCCTGTTCCACATACCGGCGATTGTATTTAAAGAATGAGCAATTGTTCAAGGCGGGCCCGGGAAAGAAACGCTCCTGCGATGTGGCAGGACGGTTGGATCTGTTAAGCATTTTCCATGTCGCCCACAATGTATAGAATTATCACATTCAGCGAAATTGGACCTTCCTATCCAAGGTGCAAGAGAGGTGGAACTGGAAGGTCACTGAAGCATCAGGAGTCGAGTTGGTGAGAGGTAGCTGGGCAAAATGGAAGAAAGAGAGTTTGCTAAAGATGCGCAACGCACGAAGGCATGGGTGGTGCAACCTGGCGACACGGCTTGGGAGATTTCAGAACGATTTGGGCTAACTGTCGAGCAGCTAACGCGCGTCAACAAGGTGATTCCAGATGTTTTGTATCCAGGTGACGTTTTGCTGGTGCCAGAAGATGCAGTTGAAAGGCCTGTCGGATGGACATTTCAGGCCGCGAAAGCGAGAATTAAGGGCATTGCTGCACATGCGAATGCCAAGTTTTTCGATGTCTTTCCGCCCCCGAAAGGTAATTCCACAGAGAACGTGAATACTCGTGATCTTGATTTCCTTGTTGTGTGAATTCGGTCGATGATGTCTAGCTCCCCATACGGCAATATACCATATCTTGCGATTCGGCTAGCGGGCAAGAATTTGGAGTCGATGAATGAAATTAAGTCATGGTTGGCACATGTATTCATCTCCTTCTTGCCTGTGGTGTACGACGACTTTAGTTTGAATAATTTTGAATATGAAGAAGAAAATGAGTTGTAGTGTTGTCAGACGTTGGATATAACACCCGACTCTAACCCTGACAGTTGTTTAGAAAGGCACATTGTGCTACGACCGATTCAATTACACTAAACCTGATTCTTCCGTAAGAGCTTTACTTAAGAAGAGGTTGCTTAAAGATTTAGATGTACACGTACGGTATAGTACTTGCTTTCTGATGCAATCCCCCGGGAGTCTTTTGGCAGCGCATGACAGCTATCTTGACTCAGAGGTTGCCCGTTCTGTTCATGATTTAATGCTGAAACCTGGATATACATCATGCATTAACATTGAGTAATCTAGATCCAGGCCTGTGGGTAAACCATGTATCTTGCAAATTTTCCTCTTACAGTTGAGACCTTCTTGTAAGGACCAGTATACGCTGAGAAGTGCTTGGTTTGTTTTTCTTATTACAAAGTAGTTCATGGCATCGCTAGATCACCAAGCCATTTCAGAGTTAGTTGTCCGTCTTATGAATTATTCATCATTTAGGGGCTACAGTCTTACAATATGTGGTTGCGTCAGACATCGATGAGTACAGACATAATTATCGGGTGTTGCTGAATGGTCTACGTGACGTCGAGACCAGCTTCATCATGCCTGCCCCAACAGGAGATGGTGGGATGAGCATTGGACCCCTTCAAATCAGGTAGAGTTTTAGCATTTTATCATCTTGCTGATTACCATTCAGCCCTCGAAAAGTTACTATGAAGAAAAATAGAAAAAATTTCTTTCAACGATTTGATTCGATATCTGTTTTTCACATCTTCTTCATCCTGAATTAAGATTGTGTCTTGGATCTGGGATCCAAAAATCGTCATCAACTCATCTTCTTAGATTCAAGTTGTCCCCTATTTAGGAGGAGCCAACCATTGGTGCAAATGATACTAACCTGTCATGAACTTAATACTTCCCTGCTTTAAGTGACTGTCGATTCTCTTTGTGGATTTGGATTGACTCGTTGGATGCAGCACTGCGTATCATACAGACGCATGGTGGCAGGCTAGTCATACGTCCAAGTACGAATGCTGTGAAGATGTTGATTACGCAGAGCGCACAGTGATAAATTACTGGCTGCGCTGGTGTCCGTGGGCACTTGAGTTTGGGGACTTGGAGACATTGGCTCGAACACATAATGGGGGTCCTCAGTTTTGGCAGTTTCTATCAACCTCTCGCTACTGGTGAAAACTTACCCAAAGCATATGTCATCTTTCGCTAGCCTGATTTGGATATGGTAGCCGCTTTAGAGTTTCAGAATCAACCAAAACGATATGGCTGCTCCTTACCTGTTGTCGACTAACTGCAGGAGAAAAGTGCGCATTGCAATGAAGAAGTGGGGCCACAGTCAAGGATTTCCGGAGTTCCAAAACGTGCGACCAAGAAATGAGATGCTACCACTTTTCAATGCTCATATACCCTTCCCGTTTCCATTGTTTGAGAGTGCAGTTACAAGTGCAGCAGTGGGAACTGGAACTGGGGCTTTGTTGGCAGCAACAGCAACGGCCATTGATATGGTTGAAGCCCATTGTGTGCAGTCTGCGGATGGGAGTGGATAGTGTCACAACTAGGGATGCCAATTGACATTTACTTTGAAAGTTGTGCTTGCTGCAAGTTGTAAAGATTTTTTATACATATATGGCTCATCCACCGGATTTTATCCTTGAAGTATCTGGTCGAGACCAACATTTGTCGCTTGCTTCGGCAGTGACGAAACAAGCAGGAATGTAACTGTACTCACTCAATCGGAGATTCGAGCATAACATGCTTGAAGTCCAGGATTCACTTTAGCAGATATACATATTGGAAGCAACTCTCCTGGTGCCTCCTTGTCTACTCAGTCAAGTGGAAGCTGGCTGGGTAGAAAATACTGCGGACAGCTAAATTATTTCCCGGTTCACGTATGTCGAGAGGTGTACTTGACCAACTTTAGCATGTGATATTGTATCGCTGTGTTTCAGATTCATGCTCAGCGTTCTGCTTCTGCTTGTTCGGAAAATAAGGATCAACAAACTTGATCTTGTAGATCCCATTGAAATTTCATTTGATCATGATCAATTCTGTTTCGCGTACATAACGCCCTTCAGCTCATTGATGAGTAATGGAAGCGCTCAAATACTGATCTTTCAGTGAATATAGTCATTTCACTGTGTGCATTCGAACTGTAACTGAAGTCGAAGAGTTAATTTCTGTCCTGTCATTTTATTTGGGATAAAAGAAAAGTTAGCTACCGAGGATCGTATGTAAGAAACAATAAGTCAGTAATTTTGAATGCAGAGTAACGAAGAGACTTGTACAGTGCGTCACCTCAACGAATGAATGAATTCCCATGTGCTAGAGCGCAAATTACCAAACTATCGTACATGCCCGAACTGGATGTATGATGTTTGACGACGACAGCTAGTACGTCCGAAAACATGTAGGTGTATGGTGCTGGAGTTGGAATGGATTTACCATCAAATATTGGTTGTGCAGAGAGTGTAATAGATTAGTGAAAATGTTGTCTTGGAGATCCGTTACCACGATCTGAATTTCAATTTTGAGGTCCTGTTGATCTCTTGAATGTTGTTCTCAATTGTTTTGAAAAACTACTTGCATTGAAACGTGGAGGATGTAGAATTACTAGAAATAGTAGTACAATAGTGTACAATAATGTTTTTATGATTCTTAAGTAATAAAAATAACATTGAACAGGAAAAAGCTGTATGAATATAATACGAAAAACGAGTGTAGTGATTTTAGTGTATGCACACTCATGCAGCTGCATTTCTCGGGTGTATAGCGTGATTTTTCTTGGATGTATAACATTCTTGGGTGTATATACACTAAAATCAATATCGTCACAAAATACAAAATGAAATATTAAATGACACTAGTAATTAGATTAATGTTGTCTAAAAAAAAACATCATATTGCATTTAAAATAAAATAGTGCTGTGTTACTGTCTATATGAGCATCAAAAGAGTTAAATCTGACCAAGACTACCGCTTTATGGATTACATGAGTCAATAGTATTTAAATAAACGTGTAAGTTTCAGTAACAAACCAAAACACATAATATGATAAAGATTAGATTAGAAATCTAGCAAAATTAGAATTATGGATAATTCCAGTTAAAAGTAAAAAGAAAATTGACCTCTGTACAATTGTGTAAGATAAAAAAGAATGTCGAAAAATAAAGTTTAGAGATTGAGAATATGCTTCAATCCCTTGTAGTCTAACACTGCTTTTTGAAATGCGAGTTACATAGGAGAGTATTTACATTTTCTGATTTACTGTAAAATATGAGACATGCCCTAGTACCGCCTTTGACTAAAATATAATACTGAATACAAGCTCCATTCATTGAGCATGATTAGAAGATGTTGTAATTGATATTGGTGACGAGGATTTAAACTTGTCGTCTCAAGGCTGTGGCCTCCCGGTGTACGTCTTAGACCCGGTGCGAGAGTGCATGAAGTTCCCGGCGAAACCAAGTATGAAAAATCAAGTATGGCCATGCATGTAGTTGTCAACAACTGAAATGTCTGCCTACAAATTTAGCAGAAATCCGCGGATTCTGTTGATCGAAGACATAAACTGTGCTGGAGGAGGATAAGACATGGAACGTAGTGGGGACAATCGGAGGAAGGTCCATTGAAGAAGGCTTACATTCGTTCTCCGATTCAGACGCATCAATTGCATGGACATGGTGGAGCGGCAAAATCATCCGGGGAGAAAAGACATGGTGGGCGCATAGGGAGTCGGCGAACATGCGAATGGGAGCGTTTGTTGAGTGGGTCAGCGCTAACGCAATCAGCAGAGAATGCGGATCAGGGTGCAGGGAAATGCAGGGAAAAGCGAGGCTCAAGGCGGAGTTGGCGAGCTACATACAGTCCTAGGCGTTTTGAATAAGACGATGTGATCCGCAACCGAGCCCTCGCATGGCGGGACCTTGCAGCCATCATCCTATACACAACCCCCACCCCACCCCCCCCCCCCCCCCCCCCCCCCCCCCCAAGAACTTGTCCATCGTTAACAAGCCTTGCACGTACTGTCAGAGTGTAGACAATACGTAGTGAAGAATGCGCGTACACTCCTTGAAGTGCAGACCCTGAGGGACCGACGGAACTGTGTTCGCTTGGTCGACTTTTCATAAGCAAACAATCAGACATGGTGTCTGAATCCCTCCAGGTCAAAGAAACTTTCTGTACAGGCATTCGGAGTCTGCGGTAACTCAGAGTTAAATTTTAGGATCTCTTTATAAAATGAACGACCAATCGACAGCAGCTTCAGAAAGTCTCGGAGTCTCCAAGTTTAACTACTCAAAAGGCTGCGATATGATCGCTAATGGTCGTGAAGATTTCAGAGAGTCGATTTCGATGCTCAATGTGAGCATTCGTGCTGTGTTGTGCTGGGCCCTATATAATGTTCTGTACAAATGTGATTATACATGTTTGTATCTTGTTCTTGCCATGATTTGAATCGGGGTTTCGGAGTTCGTTCACGGTGCACGAAGTGAACTTAGTCGAATCGTGCATCCTAATAAAGAGCTTTATGAAACAATGTTTCCCCGAACGATCCCCAATTTGTAAAAATTGTTATCCACACTGCCAGCCCGCCTATCAAAAACCTTGGTAAATTTGTACACATGGGTGGAGGGGATTTAGATGTTCTGTTTCCTCTGTCAACAGAAATTAATTCCTCCGTATCGACCCCGTTGTTTTCGCTAAGCGTAGGCAGCATACGTGCTGTAGGAGCTGATGTCAGAATCCAAGTTGAGCTTCGGCGCTCGTTTCTTAGAATAGGAGCCAAGCTGGTGCTGCACAGCCCCAGACTTAGTGAACTTCCGAACGAAGTCCTGAACTGCAGAATATCTCTCGCCAAAGCTACACTTGGAGCTGTCGTTGGTGAGTTCCACAGGTCTCCATCTGTCGGGATCGATCGAGGCATCCCTGCTGGCTCCAGCCTCGAGGAGAATTCGGACGATGCCCACGTAGTTCATGGCCGTGGCAAGCTGTAGGGCGGTCAGGCCCTTCTTGGTCTTCTCGTTCACGGAGGCACCCTTGGAGACGAGCAAATGGACAAGCTCCTTGTGCCCCGACTCCACAGCCATGTGCAGAGCAGTGAAACCTTCCTCGTCCTTGAGCTTCAAGTCCGCGCCATGCTCGATCAGAAACTTCACCACATCGAGCCGCCCCTTGAAGGCTGCTCGATGGAGCGCAGTCCACCCGTACTGATCGTCGCCGTCCACCACAGCGCCCTCATGCACGCACTTCTGCACCGAGGTGAGCTCGCCTCTGCGCGCAGCGTGTCGGAGAGCATCGCCCAGCAAAAGCACATCGAACAGAAGCGTGTGGCCAGCGTCGGCGGCATCGTCGAAAGGAGTGCGGCCTCGGGAATTTCGCACGTCTGTGTTGGCGCCCCGATCCAGCAGCAGCTTGACCAGAGCGACGTGGCCCCGGGCGGAGGCCGTGTGCAGCGCGGTGCCGCCATCCGCGCTCCGGGCGTCGACATTGCAGTGCTTCTCGAGCAGCAGATTGACGCAGTGCTTGTGGCCCTCGGCCACGGCCATGTGAATGGGAGTGCGGCCGTCGCGGGTGTGCGCGTCGATGTTCGCATGCCCGTCGAGCAGCAGCCGCATCACCGCGCAATGGCCTTTGACGGTCGCGCAGTGGAGCGCCGTCCAGCCGAAGGCATTGGCCGATTCGGTCGCGGCGCCGTTGGCCAGCAGGAGCTCGGCGATGAGCGCCTCGCCCGCCTGCGCGGCGAGCTGCAGCGCGCTCTGGCCGGCCTTGTTGCGCAGCTCCAAATTGGCCTTGTACTCGAGCAGAATCTGCACCAGCTCCGGGCGCTTCATGGCCACGGCAACGTGCATGGCGGTGCACCCGCGCTCGTCGGCGGCGTCGACGACCAACGGGTCGAGGTCGAGAACCTCGCGCATCTGCTCGATGGCGGCCCTGCTCACCAAGGCGCGCAGAATGCCGCCTCCGACCAGAACCACGCGGAGCCTCGTGTCGCTGAACACGGCCTTGCGTCGGGCGGTGAACCAGTCGACGGACACGACGGCCTCGCTGCTGTAGCCGCCCGGCACCACCACGCTCTTCACGGTGAACTTGTCGCTGCTCTGCGGGAAGCACTCCGGCAGCTCGTTCTGCGCGTGCATCGCGATCTCGACCGTGACTTGGCCCAGCGGCGGGATGATGGCGTGCGGCGGCTTGAAGCTGTATTTTCTGGGCGCCGAGGTCTGAATCTTGTACGCCACGGGCATCGTGTGCATGACATTGGTCAGCTTTACCATGCCCACGGCCTTCTTGCCCACCTCGAATCGCAAGGTTAGATCCTGCGGGTCCAAGATGAGCAGTCGATCCATCTCTAAATCTCGCTTCTGGCCGTGTTTACATAAACCTGGCGCACCGACGGCTCGCCACTCCAGACCCTCAAAAGCCTGGCCTTGAACTTTTCTAACCTCGAGAGCCGCTCGATTCACGATGGTCTTTGCCGCCTTCTTCCTACTCTGCTGCAATTTTCCCTCGTTGAGACTCCTGATGCAATTCCCGCGGCCCTGCTCCAATTCCTCATTACGGAAAGTCCATGGCAGATTACGCGATTACGCTGGTCGAATTGCCGAGGCCGTCGCAGAAATGTGAAGCTCCGAATGTGAAATGGCGATTGCCTTTGCGGACGGCGCTGGCCGCAAATCGACGTGCGATGGTCTGTTCGGCCCTCAAGAGTTGAATGCCAGGCCTCGCGCCGCTGGAAATGTGGAGGTCGATCCCAGTTTGCAGACGGGCGATTGCAATAACTCACTGGCGTAATCAAAATGGCGAAGGAGAATCCTGTCGTAATGGCTTAGGTGGATCAGAACTGAACTTTAAAATGTTCGAGTGTTTCTAGAGTCCTGTACTGCACTTTCTTCTACCAACACAAGTCGATCTCGTGCTCTTGGAGTCAAACTCCACAGGAACGACCGAGCTCCGAAACAAAGTACTGGGCAGAATAGTCAGTGGCTCCCAATGCATTGACGACACCACAGCATTGACGACACTATTGCAGCTGGAATTCAAAGTCTTTCAATTCTCGTTCGGTTCAAACACATTCATCTGCCCACAATCTTGGAACCTTGGAAGCTTGGACCAATCTACACCT